ATCTACCATCTTCATGTTTAGTTGCGTATTTGGAAAACTCAAGGTGCTAGGTCATTAGTATTCTTAACACTTCAACCTTTGTATGCACACTACCTTCTAATAAACCGCTTTTCTTGTACCAACCTTGACTTCCCTTCCTTCATGTGAGCTTACTCCAACTTCTTAAACATCACAACTCATTGTTCATCATTACTACATTCTCTTATATGGAGCCTCTGACTTCATTTCACTCTAACAAGAGATAATGGGAATTTAATCTAATTTATTATATCTCTGTCTGTTCTATTACACAGTATTAAGCAACGTTTGGCGTTCATATCCAAGTGCCTTGCTGCTCTTCTGTTTCTTTTTTTCTCTTCATAATCTTGCTCTGAGGGCACAGCTATGGAACTTCTGACGTCTGGAACAAACTTGACGTACGCGTCTCAAGGTCATAGTTTACAGCAAGCGCTCTACGAGTCTACTTTATAACAACTGTAAACTCAAGAAGTTGAGAAGCATGCTGTGCGCCAACAAATGTTGTAATTTATAGATCATGCCCGTAAAAATGGCGTGTACCTGCTCATGCAGAAATATATTATTACTATTATTTTCGAGTGCAACGTTACAAAATCATGCTGAGTGATAAAGATGAGGTTTAGCTAAGATGAAGTCAAATATATTGTTTCATATCACATAATCAAAACTGATGAGATGAAGGAGGAATAGCTAAAAGGTCGATAGATAGCTATCAATGATTCATAGTGTAATTTGTAATGAGGAGAGATGTGACTAGTTCCCCTTGTGTCCGGACAACGACTACTGGTAACAGAAAAGCTCCAAGCTTCGATCGGTGAGAGTGATATTCCTCAGTCACTGTTTTACGAAACACTGAAGGCACACTACCAGTCCTTTAACAAACAGAGGGCTTTAGTAATTTTATAGTATTGCTAATAAGTTCAAGATTTGGACCAATCATCGTCAGGTTTTCAATCTGTACGCGTGATGGTAGGTTCAAAAGGTCTAGATGTCGTTTCAAAGGTATGGCCATTGAAGATGTGGATACTAAAAAGACACACTACAACCATTTTTCCTCATATAATTGAGGATGATAGCCGACCTATCTATAGCAGTCATTAGACTTTAGGTGCGGGAGCGCACCCTCTTAAAACCGTGTCGTTGTGATATAAAGAAGTCCATAGATAAGAAGCAGTCGCGTAAGCACTTGTATATCGTTGAGTTAACAACCTATAAAAGGGGATTGCCGGCCGGTAATTTGAAATAGAGTTGTGATAACCACCCTCCGATCTCCAAGTATCTGGAACCACTCCTTGGACTAGTAAACGTGAGAACTGAAGACTAAGGATCGTCGTCAGTATGAAGAATCAGTAGACGTATCCCTGTTTAGATTTCGCAATTTCTGTCATACTAGCTTAGTGCATAATCTTACTTCTAAGACTGAGGTCGAGCTGCAGTTCAAGCCGTTGACAGTACGGGCTGTAGACGACAATAGGAATATATGGAAATACTCAGTCTGGAGTGGCAAAAAGTGCATAGAGTCACCAAAAATTATAACTTGCAAATGTCATTGAACATTCCTGGAGCAGAAACAATGAAATTTCATCACTTGGTTCTTTTGATATGTGCTTAAAAATGTCACAGATATGTGGTGCTTGCCTACACCGTTGTCTGTAACACCCTTTATAATCGAAGGGTCCTCAATCCATTTAAATCAGGTCATGAATAAAGGCGTTCGACGATGTTTTAAAGATTGCGGATGCGTGAAGAAGTAGATGAATCAGACTGACTAGCTGTTACGTGGGATGAGTCCCGCGGTGTATCAATCAATATACACGGGAACAACTGAAGGACAGTAACGGAATATTGCAACTTTGAAAATTCGACATTCATCAAAAAATTCTAGCAGTAATTAAAATCTCCAGACAATGTTCACGAGTTAACCGCATTTTATAATTTATAAACGATGTGCTAATAGAAATGATAAGCAAAAATTAGACAGAATATATTGGAATACAGTGAATGGCAGAAGTAACGTGACATATAACAAGGGGAGACAAAAATAATGCTAATGCAAGAAAGGAATATATGGTGAGAAATTCACACAATATCACACGCTAAAAGAATCTTATATTACAGTCGGAAGTGTAGCCTTAGCAACTCTAGATACAACTGAGGGCATATTAGTAGGAAGATAAGCTTTTGCAAATGTGAAAGGTCCTGATACAATTTCTCGAGAGATGGATGTATATTTTCTCGGATGTTAGTGTGACGTCCAATGTAAAATCGCATTATAAATGTCTTCAGAGTAAAAGACACCACGTACATTAATAAGGCGGTAAATTTGCACAGAATAATCTATAAAGTGTTATGTCTTCCCTTAGTTGAACAACAACAAAGAGAGTTTCACCGTTCGTTGTGAAGCGCCAAAGTCAGTTCTGAAGTATTTCGATAGGCACAGTGGACCTATTGTATTCAGTATTGTGTTTTCCCCGCATAACTCACTTTCCTGTACTTGGGAATTATTTCACACAAACCTTGAGAATGACACAAGACGGAAAATTAGACTGTATTCACATATCATACTCTGTGTGAATAGTCAAGTCTTGGTATTTAAAAATGTTTGAGGGTATTTGGAAAATATAATCCATACAAAACAAAAAGCGGTAAATCTAGTTATTAATGAGCATGGGAATCCTGAGCAAAATCCAACTGCCTAACTAAAAAGACCCCAATATCAAAGTACCAGATGACCTGCAAAAACGATCACGATTTGAGATGACCCTAAGAACCTTGATGACAGCACCGACCTCCCTCTCAGTCTACAGGATAAAAATGACGGGATGCTCTCAGATGAGTTGAACAGGATGTTCAAAGTCCCCAAAGTCAAGCCACTGGCAGTTACTAGGGAGAGTCCCAAGACCTAAGATCATCCAAGACTCCTTTGAGTGACGCTCACCAACCCTGTTGACGTAGATGATGTTCTGATGGCCAATCACCTTCTGAAATCAGAAGGGGACTTAAAAAACTGCCTGAAATAACATATTTTGAGCGCAATCTCATCAGGAACATCCCCGAAGAATCTCGCGAGACTTTCGTTCGCGGAAGAAATATCACTGTGCAAGGTGTCCCAGAAAATACAGGTTATGGTATTATAGAGTGGAAATTCATAAAGAAGTTCTTTAAGCTCAAAATCATATTGATTGAACAAGTGGTGCGATTAACCAAGAAGAAGGCACATTCTGGGCACCGGCTAGTAAAAATATCCTTCACATCCTTTCAATTGGCAGCAGACACTCTCGAAGTATTTCGTGCCAACAGATATCGGTTACCAACTGGAATCCATATGCACCCGGACAGGCCAAACGATGCAAGGATCAAGCGTAAAAGCGAATTGTAACTAGCCATTCCACTTGTGAACCGTCAAAATCAAGAAAATGTAGAAGGGTAGGGTTAACCAACCTGGAAAACGCATTGTAGGTCGGTTGCCTGGTCGTTCACAAAAGGACAAACAGGACTAAAAAGCTCACTCGTTTTAAATGGGAGGCACTAGTCAATGCACAAATGCGATTAGAGAGGACGGGCTTTATTATCAGATAAAGCTAACTGATAAACTCGTCTCCAATCCGAAAAGCCTATACCGTTATTCAGCCTCTCTTCGACAAGCCAAACCAAATTTTCTCAGTCTTTAGGTCTCACTGGCCCAAACAACGATGTGACGTCAATGAGCTTTTGGAATAACAGTATTTTCAAAAGTTTCAACCGCCCCATAACAACGGCATTAAATCTAGCTTCACCTTCAACTCAACAGGACTCCCAGAAGTGAACCTGAGCACCGGCTTGGTGTACCGGAAACTGCAGCACCCAGTGTGATTTTTTTCGCAGTCGCTAAGCTGGGGCACGCTATCAGAAAATCAGAAGCTCTCTCACGTGGCACCGATTTTCAACGGGGGTTTACCGAGCGAACCTTATAGCCACCGTCCAATAGCACTTCTTACGATACCCTCAAAAATCATAAAGGCCCTGATATGTGACGGTTTACGTGACTACTTACTATTCATCTAACTTCTTTTCACCCCAACATCATAGTTTTAGGAGAAGCAACCTGCTGACGGCGTTGGAGAAATTGACAACCATCCCTAATAGGGTCAGTAAGATCAAGGGAACAGACACGAAGCCACCATTATTTGGTCGGCTTACTTCATTTCTAAATAACTGAATTTTTGAGGTCAGGGTAAACTTCACTTTTTATAAGGCTATAGCATGTCCTAGTAGGGGAAACTTGACATATTCTTGAGGATTAAGTACAGTATCTGTCTGTAATTTACTAATTCTTTTTTCCCATCTAATACAACTAGGTTGTTACTTGTAAACATCAGTGATCTACTACTACTAGATGCGGAACTCCGTTAAGCGAAAGCTTCTTATATTCCGTCAAGAACTATTTGAACTTGTAGATCGCTAACGTAGATGATCCGTGTTGTGTAACTGGGGGCTTACTTGAGTTAGACGGGAAGTGTGTGACTAACCAGACAACGCTCAAGTCACACACGTGGACTACCCTTTCTTCGTATCCAGGTACTATGGCTGTTTTGATGAATGTACAATGCAAATGACGTTGTTACACAAACATACTAGTAAGAGTAGGTACAAGGAACAGAATGCGGCAAATGCTGCATGAACCAGTCCATGGCATGCAATCAACTGATGTATTTTGGTTGTCCTTGACCCTGACGAAGATCGGTTAGCTGCTCGACATTCAGGGACCCGACTGCCGGACGATCTGGGGAGAGTTCAGTGACATTTCACTGACCCAACAAACTATTTTGAGCGTACCATTACGTTAGGTATTGAAGCCTGTCCGTATTATTAAAATCAAAATTTTTTAGGTATATGTTTACCTAACAAATGGTATTTTCCATAACTTTTTTTGTATTTATTTGATCTGTCGCATTTTGGTAAACGGAGTATCTGAAGTGTAAAACAGACCAATGCAACGTAAGGCGCTAAAATACAGTTATATATTTTTGTCAGTGAATGTTGATTTCTGTTCAACAGATGATGAAAAAGGTGGGTCTTTCTACATATTAGTCACTAATTGTAAAAGTTCAGTGAAAATTCAGTTAGAAACGAAGGATGGCATATCCAGGTTTCTGGTCATTTCTGTTTTCTTTGTTAGACAGTAAGAATATTCAAACATTGTTTGAAGATTTCGTCATGATTTAGCAGTGTCGATTCAAAATACTAGATTTACTGTACAACATGATCCTTCCACTACAGTTTCTTCGGAAATCACTAATATTAGTCAAAAACCGCGTAACAGATATGAGATTCTCCTCTTAACTGAATGTGTCGCCATACAGTCCATTATAAATATCACGGTGGAAGATGAGGTTTGTTAACAAAGAATTTTTTGTCTGAAGACTGAACAAGTCATTATATATATATATATATATATATATATATATATATATATATATATATATATATATAACTCGAATAACTTTTTTATGGGGCTGGTTGTTTGGTATTGATTACATATTGATAACATAATGCAGTATGCAACCAAAAGCGTAGTATGAACACTTCAGTCGATTTTAAAACATCTTACCATAATCATGTCACTTCTATTTAAAACAAACCGGTAACTCAACGAGTTTAGATCATGTTAGAAGTAAGGATTTTTAGATAAAGTAGGGCTTAATGTATAGATCCTCACCTTTTTTTTTAACTCTACGTAGATAAATGCAGACAAATTAGTCACTTGTCAGTCCAAAATATTTTACTCCGAAGTCGTGATAGTAGTGATGTACCACATATATATCTTTAGAGTTGATTAACATCTTGTAATTAGCATAGGTGATTTGAATCGCTGAAAAATTCCTATCATATTAAAACAATCATATGAGCGAATAATACCCTTTTCAATAATTTATCATCAGGTTCTACAATTATATATCCAAATTAATAATACATAAAATCGGCTAGGTTTATGGCGAAATACCTCACTTACAAAATGTAACATGAATTAAGGGTTGTTTGTCATATGAAATAAAACCAAATGGTTAATGTTGGGGTGACTAATACGAAGTGTTAATTTAGATAAGCTCATATGTTAAATGGAGTTGCGAGATAAATGACCATATTTATTCTGATCAGGATCTCCAATTAACTGTCTTCGGCTCCCCTTTCTAGGTTCTGCCAAGTACTATTTTGTGGTCTTAACGTCCGCCTCCAATGTTCAAAGCCATATATTCCTCTGTCCTCTCTTCCTTTTCCCTTGAACATTCGAAATGCAGTTTGATTATTTGAATATGGTATATCCTGTCCACCTTCAGAGTCTGTCCCTCAGCTGGGAGATGCTTTGTTCTCTGCTATATTCTATTACTGTCGGTGGTCTCCGGCCAATACATCTAGAATACTTTGAATAAGCAGCATTTCATTAGATACCTGAACGCTTTTGATGTCTGTGGTAGTTTGCCTGCTTATATTAATAAAGGTTCCCATCTCCTTCAGAGCTTTATCATTAGGTGTATTTTTGTTGATGCTAATGTAGCAGAACTTCAAAATCTTACTTTCCCTCTTGTAAATGTTGAGGAAACTGCTGCAGAGGCTTTTGCTTAGCTGGCTATCTTTACCTGCATTCGTTGTTGTGTATGGGATAGAAGAGCTAGATCGTCTGCGAAGTCCAAATTTTTTAGCTGTACCAAAGTGCACGCTGTACTCCATAATTTTCTTGAGATGTAAATGTCTTTATAATCCAATTAGCATCAGAAAAAAAGACGAGAGTAGACAGGTTTGTCTTACACCAGTATTCTCCTGGAATGCATCTGTGAGATTCCTTTCATGTACGATATTGCGATCCAGTCTCTCGTGGAAGTTCCGTATGATGGTGACGATTTTCTCAGATAACCCAGTGTCAAAAAAGATTCCATAAGGTTCTATCCAAACTGTTGAATGTTTTCTCATTACCAAGGAGTATATGGATAAGTTCCACTCAATCGATTGCTCAACGATGAACAATGGTGTCTCAATTTGATCTGTACAAGTCTGGAGTGTAATCAATCTTCCATTTGGTTCATCACTCGGTTGAAAAGTTTTCCTTGTACCGATAGATGTATGACACCTCCGCAGTTCTCACATGTACTAGGATCTCCTTTATTCGGTATCTTTCTAGTCTATGAGTATTTGCTCCTCATCCCAAATCTTTCTGAAGAGAACTGTGCATCTTTGCAGGTACCACTATATTTGACTTCAGTGCTTCAGCTAATATGCTCTCTGGTCCCATCGCTTTCTCACTCTTGACCACACTGATCTCTTTTGGGGTAACATCTATAGGGAGGTCTGTATGCATTGCTTTGATGTTCAATGGAGCTGGTCTGTTTAAGAGCTATTCAAATTACTCTATCCATTTGTTTCACTGCTCTTGAACCGCAATGGCTTGGCTATTTTCTTTGTTCTTAAATGGTCTCTTTGGTCTACTACATTTTCGTGTTAGCTTCTTAGTTGTATCATATAGTTCTATACTTTTTTATCTCATCCCTTTTTCTATCATAGTGTTTATCATCTTTGCTGCCATCATTGGTAGGCATGAGGCACTGTATGACATTTATTGTAATCCATTCCTCCTTTGTTTTTAAGAATTATTTAGTGATCTTGTACCCATGTGTTTCCCATTTTTAAAGCGTCTTTGATGCTTTATTGGGTTTCATTAGTGTAACTCCTGATATGTGGATTTTCCCCTTCATGATCAGAGTACAACATTTTCCCTATAGTTCGTCTTTTATGTCTAGATCGTGTCGAAGGTGCTTAGCTCACTTTAAGCGCAGCTAGCTTGAATCTACTTATTTATTATGCTATCCATCCGTGTCTCCCATACGGTCTGGACATTCCACTTATCGCTATTAATTGTCGTTCGGTTTGCCAGAAGCGATGAGGTTGTTAACCATGCACTCAGTTCTCTTCCTTTACTCAGGCTAAACTTATGACAGTCTTATTCCAAGCTGACTTTTTCTGTGAAATTATCAATCTTCCACTTTTCCCCTATTATCGTAGCAAATTAGTTTTATACCACATTTTCTGGTTACTGAAGTTTGCGAAACAATTAGAATGAAAGCTTAAAAGAGAAGGTATTAGATTTTCATTCCTCTAAAACTACCTCATATATTACTACAAAGTCACAATTTTACCGAGTGATATTTGCTCAAGTACCACTTACACTACATATTCAAAAGTTTAAAGTAACATAAGTGTTTTGAGTGTTCATTCTTATTAAAATAGCTCCTCCTTAAAACTTTAAGCACCAAATTAATTGTTTTGTCACTCATTTTAGATTTATTGTAATTCATCTCAAAAGTAAATAACGAAAATAAAGTTGTTTTTATTGCTTTATAAAAGATAAAAATACGGATAAATTGTTTTCAGGATGAATTTCACAGAACATTGAACTCTTTATATCATTGTCTTTTTCCATATGTTTCGTGTTACAGAGAATATCTATATCTCTGTGAAGTGCCTTTACAAAAACTATTTTTATAATGATGTAAGAATTCAATTTTTATACTAGTATTACTAAAGTCTCAAAGGATTTATTCATTGGGACTTCAAACCTCCAAATAATAAGTCAAATTTAAACTGAATCCAACGGCTCTCTCCTACACTCTGTTACTGCATATAATTAGTAGACCAAATCTATTCGGTGTTTACTTGTAAATTTTTGGTGGGGATAAAATTTTTTTTCATTTTCATAATGAACCATGTAACTCTCCCAAAATAAGCATAAGCAATTAGCACATCACAAAATGTGAAGACATACTCCTACAGAAATATATAAATATATCATCTTGAGTGTTGTAGCATATCTTAACTTATACTTAATTCGATTCGAAATAGATTGCATTATCCCGTTGTTGATATTGTTACTGAAATATGATCAGTCTTGTTTGGGATATGTGCATCCTGTGCGAATTGCTTCGATATAGCCATTGTAACAAGAAATTAGATTTCAGTCAAAATATCAACAACGAGGTAGTCCGATCCAATTCGAATTAGATTTAAACTCGTAACCGTTGCACAAGTGAGTAACTATCCTAAATCGGTGGTTAGGTGGATAACACAATGGTGTCTAAAGTGAATAGTGCTGGGTTCGGATTCTGGAGTGTGCATCATCTTGGGAATCCATGTACATCCAGATGATGAGTCCCAAATAGGACAAGACGCGCGTCCTAGATCTGATTGTTAGCCTCATCCTATCCATTTTTATAGTATTCACGTTCAAGCTTTATCGTTTCTGTATCGTAATGTGAATATTGTTCACTGAACGGATCAGCCTAAAAAAATAACGAAATGTAATTTAACTGAGCCGTCCTTTATTTTTCTTCCATTTTATGAAGGAAAATAACATAAGTTCAACTATGTATCTCAATAGAACCTTGCAAAATAAAATCATTGTGAATGGCACATGTGAACAAAAAAGACAGGATTTGACAGTTTCATGGTCGCCAAATGTCGATTTCTTAGACTGGAAACTTATATTTGTGTTTGGAGAGGATTCTGAAAGATATGATCTGGAAAGCATAGGTATTACTTATACAGTTGATAAAGGTAATTAACACTTTGAAAAAATTAAAGCCACTTTAAATAACTTTAGTTGCTTTTTTCTCTTCCCTTAAAGATAAATTCAATCAAACATTACATTAAAAAATATATTTGAACTTTGGAATGCCAATAATAATATAAGTGTTGTAGCTATTGAACGAATAAGTGTTTATCTTATTTGCTAAAGATGATTACGTAGGCAATGTGTTGAACTCGAAATAATGTGTATATAGTTACTAACTATTTAATTCTAAATTTTTCATTAATACTAATCTACATACTTCATGTTTTGTTAGTTTATCATGCTAACACCGCCCCTATTAGAAATAAAATGAGGTTAATCATTTCAAATGCAATTTTATTATACAGGCAATGAAATTGATGCTAATACAGATAGAGGTTTGTTCACTATTCCTGTCGGTGGATACTATGAATGTGCCAATCATTTACATAGAGAACTATTCGTGGACGATAATGATAATATAAAAATCAATATTTATTTTTTAAACTCATCAATGGAAGCATTCAGACTTGAAAATCGTTCAGAATTTATGGGTCTTGGTGAGTGTACAAATATAAAGCTGTTGTAATAGACCATTTAACTATGAGGTAAAATCTTCCGAAGCTATTTTTCTACAATTATATTGGCCACATGTTTATTAAGTATTTTGGTTGTATCATTTTCGTATTACCCTTGTTCCAAGCTTTTATTTCAACAATAGAATGGTGCTATAGTCTTCAAAACGTTGCTTAGAATCGATTATCTGTGTACACGGTACTCCATTTTTCCCATCATTAAGGTTGTTGTTCCGTGATCTGGTTTTGTATGCATATAAATGAATGTCTGAAATATTATGGCGATCTTGTACTGGTGATCACCGCTCTTGTATTCTTCCTCTTCGTTCGCGGCCAGTTAGTATTGAACCAATCGTCAAGCATAGAGTATCAGTCTCCCTCGTCCTTGCTGCGTATTGGTTGCTTAAGATCGTCTACGCTTATTGGTCCGTTGTAAGACTTAACAAAAGCATCTGAAAATATACCGCTAAATGACTTTTCTTTTAAAAACTAGGTTTTTTCCTTAAGCAAATAAATATTTTTCTTACCACAGTTTATTTTTTTATAAATAACATGTGTTCGTTTCACAGACACTAGCATCTAATTAAAGTCATATTAAACGTGCCAAAGTTGTCCTTTAATGTTGGGATAGTAGCATAGTTGTCGTAAATCTTACTGGGAATTCTGTGGTTACACAGGTGTACAACTAGATAATAAGTTCAATATTTTAATATGATGACATCCATTTGTTTAATAAAAACATTTTTATCATGACGTAGGATACACAAACCTCGGAAACTTAGTTTCCCATAAATTGGTACATAAGAAATGTATTATTATTTTGTCGCTATAAATGTTACCTAATATTTATAGAAAAGTTCGGTTTTCTTCATTATTCATTTAGTTTACCAAAGAGAACAGAAAGTTCTCGTCGAAATCATAAAGAAATAAACTAAATGAAAACGGTTCTCGGAAATGCAAAGTGAAGCAAAAAAATAACAGAAAGTCTAGACTGATTTTAATTCTGATCATTAATGTATCAAACTAATTTTCACATTCCTCCAAGTTCTATATCACATACATATGCGGTCTTATTAAGTATGTTTCCACTAGTTCCAACCCCGACCGTTGTTGCTACCTTGACGTGGTGGTCGGGCTTGCCTATCGTGATGAAGCAACCGAGCTATACTGGCTGGAACAACCGTTCCTCAAGGTCCTACCATGTCAGACAGGTCGGTTGAAGAGTGGCAAGACTAAAAGCAACAAACCCAAGGGCCGAATTCGAAGTTGTACTGCTGACTGTACAGAGGTGTGACAGCAGTAAGGAGTTTCTTTCAGACAACCAGCATGACAGCGATGTTGCCTGGTCCTACGTTGTAGCTGACTGACTAGTTCCAACTAGATATGTTATGAAGTCGGACTATATTGTTAGTCGTACTAATTTTCCATCTAATATAGATCACTATTTAGAAATTCGATAATTTAACAATCTGATTTTCTTAGGTACGAACTGGAAAAAATCCCAAATAAAATGCTCGGTATGTTTTATGACATTATCTATTATTGAACCATCATATTAGAAATAATCTAAGCTATGATATATGGAATGTTTCTGCGTAACAATAGAGAGAATCTATCTTAAATAGAAAATTCTGGTGGTGCTATCTATGTTCGCTGAGTTGAATGGTTTAACTGTACAGCTTTCAGTCTCAATAACATCAACGTTCAAATAAACTTGAATTAACCCCCAGTGATTTTGTCCAGAAAGATAATGGAACCTTTACAATTAAATGATCGACGCTCATAGGACACGATATCACCAAATTATTTCGAAGTTATTATTTATAGATTGTCTAATTTCCAATATTTTTACACATTTTTAGCCATAGACTGTCCATTGAGTATCATATGGTTAAAGAAGGTTCCAACAATTGTATGCACCACCCTACTTTTGATAGGTCTTGCTATTCTTTTAATATATTTGTGCAGTCGTCTTAGCAAACGATCAGCATATGAGACAATTAGATAATTATATATATCTTATAATATATTTCAATGAAATGCTTTTGCACAAATCATGAATGGTTCTAGTTTGAGATTTGTTTATTATTTTCTGTATCTCGTTCTTGATATTTTTGTATAATCAAGTGTAATTAATTATCATCTTTTCCTTACATTTATTAAACAGATTATTTCTTTATTACTTTATGAAAAAAATAGCATATATATTGTAATAATGTACCTATACACCGATGATAAAAAATTTGGGAACTTATCTATTTTTTGCTTTTTTTAATGATAATACCTATTGTTCGTAATGGAAAATCTTACTTGTAATGACATTTAGAAAAAATGATTACAAATGATGCCAATATTATTATTGGTACTAATTTTGTCTTCTTTCGTTATTTTTTCCATTAGATAGTTTATTGTAAGCTATTACTCAATTTTCTAAACATTCTTTTTCCTTACTGTTACTTCTATAACATACAAATATATGACCATTTATTTATTTATTATTTATTTAAACACATGAACATTGGTACAAGAAGGCACCAAATATATATATGCCACACATCGTCATTCGATTTGTGTGAGGGCTAGAACACTTCCCGGCAGCCCAGACCGAAGCAGGTGGTTTCCTTAGGGGTCACTCCCCGAACCTTTGACCTAGAGGTAGTAGTGGAGCAACATTAGGAGATGCAGTCCCACGGTAGGCAGTGGCCAACGATAGGTTGATATGCCACTTTTTCCCTTAGGATCCTGGAGCCCATTGATTGGGAATTAGGGTTTTCCAACTCGCCTTTGTCGATCCCTTATATCCACCAACCCCGTTAAAGCGCCAGGTATTCGCTTTTCGTCCTCTCAATTTCGTAAACAATACTTCCGTCGCGAAATGGCAGTGATCAGGGCCTCCCTTACATAGGCTGTATACGCGTGGCCATGTGACAGCATTTTAAGAGGGAGAGCTGACTTTCTGCCGAGCCAAGGCATACCCATAAATATAGTGTTTCAAACAGTTCAAAACAGTAAAATGCAATTGGAATGATTGTCAAGAAAATGTAGATTCATTATTTGCTTTGATTCCAGCCATCTAGAATTTTATACGGAGCAAATTGTTATAAATGAAATGGTGAAACTGTAAAAATGAGCTGGTAATCAGACGAAAGCAGAATGCTGAAATGTTAACCACCATGTAAAGTAGGGCTGGGATAAAGATTGAATGACTGAAATACTCGATAGTTCGTTTGATTGTTACTCAAAATCGCGCAATCGAAAATGTAAGGTTTCTTATAAATGAATACATTTTCAACTTAACATTCTGTATTACATCATCGCATGAAGCAATATATTTAATAGTATTGATGACAAATAAGTTATATCCCTTCCATTTAACTCTCATGACTAATACATTTTTCTGTGAAATATATGGCTTAGAAAATCACATTAAAATTTAGACTTAAAGTTGTAGCTGTAATATATCTTCTATATAACAAGGAAAATAAAGACCGTCAAACATTCAACGATGTCATACTGTGGGATTTGTTTTATTTTTACCGTATATTCTAAAAAACCAAAGCAACATTTTTGCGACTAAATTACATTAACCACCATCTATCCAGAAAAATTTCTGATCACATTTCGTTTCAATTCACTAGCTACTGTTAACAATTGTTTACCATTCAGAGTAGCAGTGATATTGCTATAATGGGCTTTTTGAAGTTAAGATTGTGCGTATCGTCTTAAACAGTACATTAGTTCGCGGTCATAAAGCTTTTACGTAACAACGACCTTAAAAACACCGAGTTCCATCGTCAATCTAGGGACTTACGTTACAACATTTACTAGAAGGTCACTTGAGGTTTATTATATACAGTTTTATTCGGCACAAGTATCTCACCGCTAATTTTCACTTCCGATAATGAGTAAAGGTTGGTTTCGACTTTAGTCTTAAGCATATATTTTGACAACTTTTATTACTAAAAGTGGTTATGCGAATGAAAATTTCTTTCATCTGACTGGAAAAATAAACTCGACGCATGAAGGCAATGTCACTAATATCCGTTTGCTTCTTAATACGTGTTAATAATGGTAATCAGGCGATCATGCATGTACCAAATCTGTCCTTTGAATACCAATAAATAATTGGGAAAAATTACCTTGTAACTCGTTTGGAAAATCCTGTTTTGAAAACTATTTTAGAACCAGAAAACTCGATTCGCAATCTTATTCTGCTTAATACGACTAGAACAAAACTGTCTACTGCAAACACGCTTGGAAACTAAACCATGCTTCAACTTTTTTACCGTATATAAAATAACTTGAACGTACAAAAATATAGTGGTAGTGTTCACCACTTAACGATTTATTGTAATCAAAATTCAGTCAAGTGAATAGTACGTTAAGGAAACTGGTCCGCTAACGAGAGTGAGTATCCTTAACTTATATCAGTAAGTGAAAGAATCCATCATAAAATGTCAAAATTATCATTGTATTATATAAGATAAAAATGAACTATTGATGCCTAAACTGAGAAACGAGCCAATGTCTTTTTGTTGTACATCTCTATTGGGACGTATTTCTTTAATCAACTGATTACATAAAAGCCTAACGCAAGCTACAAATAAAAACACAAACTGCCATATTGTAACACTTGAGATATATTTTATCTAATATTCATGTCAAACAAGATAATTACAGTATTTCTACCACTATGTGAACAATAATCTGAAGCATTTGGTAGTAGAAATCTATACGACCGAACTACTCAGATTCATGATTGTAGTTGTAGGAGTTTGAGGTGAAATTCAAAACTCAATAATGGATAGATGTAACTTGTTAAGAGCTAGATAAGAACTCATCAAAATTTGCCAAATTTCCATAACTTAGATGAAGAAAATTGATAAATATGATACGATTAACGCAAAAGAATGAACTTGAGCGATCTCTAGAACAACTATGGGAAGATGAATAATTTTTCTGAGGAAGAATCCTAGAAAACAAATAGATTTAAAGTACAAAACACCTTGACAGGATTGTCGGGGTTATCTGTTACTTTTGAGCTTGTACCATACTCAATCGATGGAGGATTTCTGTATTTTGATTAGATGAGCTTTCGACTGGTAAAATCGATGAATAGAATGCTAATCGATAGGTCGGCGCAATAATATGTCGTGTCCGAGCCATGATTACTCATGAGGTCGTATAATTGAATTAAGCCTTAAATGATTAGACATAACCGACAAGATCAATAGCCAGGTGAATGGTTTTTCATGTTACAAAAAACATGTTTGTATAAAAAATATGGACACACAATAAACATGGTAAAATTCCTTAGGCGGTTGGAATAAATTGGCTTGTAGGCCGCTCATTCCTTAAACAATTAGAACCTGTCAGGTCTAGTCTTTGAACATTGTATCACAATCAGGTTTGAGATATTATATCCTATATTTCTGCGTGAAATCCAAACTTTCATCATAAATAATGTTAGCGATAAAAACCCTTAACTCTTACCTTATAGTATTTTATTTAATATTATAAAGAATTTACACGAAAATGATCCATCAATCATGTCAAAACTCTATATTCTTGTCGTTTTATTACTATTTTATCATAAATTACTTCAGAATTGAACACTTTTCCTCATTGGCTGAGAATCGGTTCAAGGTTGGTCGTATAGTTTACTTCCAGTCAATATGCAATATAAAGCTTTAAAAAGTGTCTGTTCAACCCATATTTACAACTAACATAAAACTGAAAGCTTTAATGACTGACAATTTACTAATATAAAATATCCTTGGAATTATATTCAAATTGTATGTCAGATAAGTGGCCTATTTAAATTCCATTCCAAACTCTAATATTAATATTAGCGAAAAAATTTTGAATTTCGTTACTGCTTTCTTGTGGAGTAAATGAAACAGTTGAATGAAAATTCTTATTCATGAATGGGTTTCACCGGATTATCATAAATAATAACCATAATCATATAACATTAATTCTACAACATCCAACCATCGTAAAACAGAAAAGAGAAGAAGAAAACTGATACAGACAAAAAAGTTTAAATATTTCATAAAGAATAAAATTCATTATAAGGATAAACTCTATTAGGAATTTTGTTTTCGTCAACTTAAAATACAAATAAAATTACTTACGTCTGTTAGTCCTCGTGGAGGAGCATCGAGTGTCCATCAGCACTCTTCATCCAATCCTTCCATGAGTAATTCTTCTCAGTTATTTCCAGTTGTTATTCATCATTTTCATATATTCTTCTGTTCCCCGATGAAATATGTCCTCTTTTCCCATTCCCTACACGATTCCAAGTTAGAGCTTGCTTCGTGATGCAGTTGGGTGATTCCCGTAATATATGTCCCATCCGATTCCAAAGTATTTTTCTAATTTCCTCTTCAGCTGGAAGCTGGTTTGTTCTCTCCCACACAATTTTAATAGTTAAAATCATAATTCAACTGAAGCTAGACCACCATGGAAGACCTGGAAGCACTGAACAGCCGTCTCGTCCCATTGTGGGACTCCGAGCATTACGCATCCATGACCCCGCCTCGCGGGATTCGAACCCAGGACCTATCAGTCTCGCGCATGAGGCTGTGCTCACTAGTGATTGGCTTCAAGAGTTATTTCCTGGAGTTCTAATGATAAGCAGTGACCAATGGAGTTCGACCGGGTCTGTTGTGAGATAGTAACTCACTGATGACAACGGTATATGTGTCGCTCAATTCCGTGGATGCGTACTGCTGGGGAGTCCCGCGATGGGACGAAACGGCCGTACAGCGCTTCCAGGTCTTCCAGGGTAGTCGGGCTTCAATTGAATCGTGATTTCAATTATTGAGATTTAAGTAATTGTGTCTCAGCTGAGTAATCGGAAGACTAAGTGTGATCTAAAGTGTTTGGGTTTGATCCCTGGTAAGTTAGAGGTTGTAAACTTCTGAGAAGTCCCATACTGTAACGGAATACTTACTTAATTCATCCTATTCTCTACTGATGACTTAACTAAAGTCAATCAGTTACACAAAATACAAAAACGATCTCCACAAACCATTTATACTAATATCTACTTGGTCGCATTTTGCGTTTATTCTCGTGTATTGTAAGCAGTCTACATAATATATGTCCGTAATAGTGTAAAATCACAAAATAATAGTTTGAATGCTATCAGTTCTCGTAATTTCGTTGTCTTAGTGGATAGAAAATAGAGCATGTCATACATTAAATGAACCGAGTATGTCTTTCGTAGTCTGTGGGTTAGAGTATACTTGTAGTGGACTTAATGCTTTAGAATAATGTCAAACTTAGTTTATCTAGAGAATAAAAAACCGTAGGCCTAACTATCCAGGTAGTCTGTTCCAAATGACAGTAGAATTATGTGAGAAGTTGTTATTTATACTGGTCTAACATTGTTGTCTCTGAACAAGTTGTCTTTGACTGCAGTAAGGCATTTTCATAAAATCCACTGTTGGATTTGAAGAAGGTAACAATTAAGGTAATAACTTACAGTAAAATATAAAGTTCGATGTAGTCAGCAATGTTTCAAAGGATTCGAACTATAATTCATCTCAAGCTGTCTATCAAAAATATCTGTTATGCTTACAATATACGTAAGATCACTTATCTTAAATAAAAATAAACTTCCAGTTCACTTTACCTGTGGTGTATGCTACTTATGTCGACAGACATAGAGAGTATATAACATCAATCAGAAGTGAAATGCATGGCAGCAGAAAACCAAGTAGATCGAATTGAAAACAGAAAGGAAAATAGGAAGGAATCGTGAATTGGAAGAATCATACAGAATATAAAAACAGTTGATGAAATATTTGAAAATGAAGTATTTTATGTATAGCTCTCATAGTTTACCAAGCTACTCTGTAATTTTGTATTAAAATACAATTGGTTATCTCAACCTGTGTTTTCATTTACAAAATACCAATAGTCTATTGACCTGCTGCCTTATAATTAAGGAATGTTACAAAATGTACACTTGTCAGTTATGTGATATATAGTAGTTGATCGATATTATTTTTGGTCAGTTCGTGAGAACTACTTAGGAAGGATGAAACTGTACAAATGACTTATAAATTAGTATTACATGTGATAGACACTATTTGTAGAATTGATTGTTAATAAGTAATATTCGGTAACTTATTATAGTTTATTGTAAAGTTAGAACGAATAGATGCTAAAAAATGTAGTTAACTGTCTTGTGGAATTTCCTTTTTATTTCGAGAAATGTCTCCATTATCACCTTTTAGAATTAGTACTGTGACGAAAGTCATTTACTTTAGTAGTCTTTTTATTTCAATCACACAATCTATGTTTACTTAAAAGTTACGAAATTCGTCTTCATTAAACGTCTGTTTTAAAAGGAAATACTGAATTTCTTCAATGCGTATTCCTCGTTCCAAGAAATGGTAAATTTCCTAAAGACTGATGACATTAGTGTTGCAAATCGTAAATTATTCACTGACACCCGCATTATATATATATATAATACATAATTACCATACAACTATAAATACTGATGTCAATGATTTCGTTATAAAGAAAATTTTCTTTGCTGAATTGTTTATTTATAAATTATGACCAATTCTAAATTCATATACCTTTACTTTAAATGATGTATACTTACATTAAACACGTCCACTTCTTGTATAATTAATTTGGATATATAATTGTTGAACCTGAAGAGAATCGATGGACAAGAATATTCTTAGTTCATATATCCACGTTTTAATAAGAAACACTACTCTACTCATAACTATACAATAGCAGAATAATTTATTTCATAGGCTTTAACGTTTTAGACTACTCTGTTCATAAGCTTTTTAAGCAAAGATGAGTAGTGGCTAGCAGTGGAATCCAGGACGCACGTTTCGTCCTATTTGGGACTCGTCAGGACCCGGTAGCTAAGTGGATAACGCGATGGCGTTTGAAGCGAATGGTACTGGGTTCAAGTCCCTGGGTGAACATCAACTCTGGAACGCAGGTGCGTCCAGCTGACGAGTCCCAAACAGGACGAAACGCGCATCCTGGATTCCACTGTTAGCCACTATTCATCTTTGTTTAAAAAGCTTGTGACTTAAGGCTATATCGAGGCATCCGTACAGGATGCACATATGCCAACACGAGACTGATCAATCTCAATGCTAAATAACAATGGGAAGATACAAGTAAAACAATACCATGTGAATTTACTTTGTTCATAGCTAATTACATAACAACTTAAAGTATCCATACACATTTCATATTTATCCAATCATTCAGAGAATGACGGATTGAAGAAAAACTAAATAAATTACATATTACCATGAGTTTCTTTATTTATTGTCATTGAATGAGTTAAAATACTAGTGTATCTACTTGTCGATTAAGTAATGAGTATCACTATTTCAAATTGACAAGTTTGTATAACCGATATTCTTGAGAAAAAAAAACAACAACAACAACACATAATTTTTATTCTTATATCCATTTAACAATAGTTACTAATTTGAAAATGAATCCCCTATGAAGATATTGTGTCTTGCATGTTGAAAAGATGATAAACTAATCAAGAGCTCATCTTTATGAAATTCCAATTAACTTTTTCACAGGTATCTATGCAATATTAAATTACTTTTGTGCAACAAAAATGTACCTGCTATGATGTAGGTAAACAAGAATTTACATTTGCACAAAATTGTTTCTTTATGTTATTTATGTAAAGTTTATGATTTTTTTTAGAAAAAAAATATAAATGATCAAGGATGTATTTACAAACATTTTCGATACATAATTTAGACTAAACTGATCTTGTCTTATAGATGAGTCATTTTATAACACTTTATTTTATATGCGCAAAACTAAAGATCTCTTTGTTATATCTTAACGAAGATTAAAGTACGTGTAACTCCTGAGACCTATTTGTTATATCTCGATAAGAATAATCAATGGTAATTTTTGCGATCCACTTATGAACCAATACTATGAGTATATTTTTATCGTGTAATTGTTACGTAACTAAACTGTTCATATTCATGTCCCTCTCATTATGAGTTTGTTTTGACCTATGAACTATTGTTATACGTTTTACCATTCTTGAGTTATGGCCTGTCTATTAATTACTATCTCCCTCATTCACAGTCACTTTTGGCCAAATATTGTACAAATGTTATTTTCTATTTTATGGTACGTTGTGGTCTGTTTGATTGGTATATAAACCCGTATGTTTGAAATAAAGGATGCACATCACAGAGGTTGAGATTAGTGTTCTAGACTCAACTGGCTGCGCTAGACAGGGAAGCAGGACCAATCAGGACTCTGGGTCACTCGCATGTGTTTTCTGTGTCACTGGTTCAATCGATAATTCGCTGCTCTATAATTGGCGGTATCATTGCGTTATACAATAAACAAGGCACACAGATTTCACAAGATATAACACTCTTAATGGACCAATATTGTCCTACATATTCTTATGGTATGACTATTCAGTAATTAGATTATGTATATCTATATTCCCCCTATTATAAGCTTCATTTTGGTCTATAGATTATTATTGTACGATTTATTGTTTTTAAGTTTTGTTCAGTTTATTGATTACAGTCTCCCATGTTCACAGCCTCTTTTGGCTTTAATGTGTATAAATGTTACTTCCTATTTTATGGTGCATTGCAGTCTATTTGACTGATATATAAACCAGTTATGTCTGAAATAAATGATTCGTACAGCGGAAGCTGTTATTGGTGTTCTGAACTCAACTGGACGGGCTAGGCGAGCAATGGACCGATAGGCTGACCGGACCGGTTGGACGTCATTGGTTTAATATAGTACAAGTCGTATTTCGATTGGCAAATAAATTACATGATAACAAGCCGGACTTAAAGTCACAAGACTCTTAACCATATTATGGTTTTCAGATCCATATGAATATCCTTTTTGTGAGAAACTCTTCATTTGTCAACAAATTGTCTAAAAAGAATTTTAAAACGAAGCTATTCTTAACTCTATTGCAGAACAGATGAATTGTCAAGTGAACGAACACCTTTTAAGTAGGTTGACATCAAACGTCATTAACGAATTAAAAGGTAATTCATTTTTCATTCGATGGTACAATTTCCTTTTTTTAAATTCTATCTTCAAGTCAATTACTATTTAGTTTAGCTAAAAAAATTTCATTCATTATAAGCCTTAAATGATATTTCACTCCCACTTCATGAAACTATCCGTAAATCTTACTGATCAACTTCGAATGAATGTTTAATATGAATTTTCAGAGTTTTCCATATCCATTTTACAGAAATTATAATATATCCTATTCAACTAATCGTTTGTACATATGTAGTTTATAACCGCAATAATGTGTAAAACACTAAATTGAAACACGAAACAAAGTTTACAACCCAATATCACTAATAAACTGAAAAGCGCCCTTATTCTTTTTATAATTGACAAACGTTACATTGTCAAGACGGAAAATAACTATTGTAGTACACACCACCATTTAAGAGAATTCTATTACAAATTAGTTATTATTTCATAAATTCAATAAAACAATTATTTAATCTATTCAAAGATGGATAGTGGCTAACAGTGGAATCCAGGACGAGCGTTTCGTCCTATTTAGGGCTCGTCAGCTGGATGTACCTACATCTCAGAGTAGATGTTCACTCTGAGGCTTGAAATTAAGGCTATATCGAGGCAATACACATAATATGCATATATACCAATAAAAGACTGATTAATTACACTCCTAAATAACAATAGGAAGATTCAAACAAACCATACCAAGTGAAATGAACTATTCAATCTGTTATTCTGCATCATTATTTTGTATAAAAAAACTGATCAAATAATTACATATTCGTACAAAACAAAATATGAAGGAAATAGAAACAATGAATCAAAATAATAATATAAAATAATAACAATAATAATAATAAATTAACAAGTTAAAACAATTAGTATCCACAATAGTAATTAAAATTAAGTCTCGTAAAAGGTAACTAATCATTTACAAAAAGAAATCGATAATACACAAAACGGTAAATAGAAAAGTACACCGTAAAAAGAAAAAACAAAAAAAAATACATTTTCATTGTCAAAATCAGCAATATTAAACTGTTGACATGTTTTGTTTTGTTTTGTTTCCCGTGTATACAACGACGTTACTAATCAATTTAGTTTTCAGCAGTTTATTCATAAGATAATATACAGTAAATAGAAAAGAAAACAAAAAGAAGAAATGCCAGATTTAAAAGTAATACAGAAAAACCATACAAGCAATAATTTAATCGAGATCTAACCAATATCTTGGTACCCAAGTTGGTTCACGTTCAAGTTTAATAGCTAAACGAATTAATTCTGTAACAGTTGAATCCAATGTTTCAGGAATAATTACTCTATCAAACCAATGACCAAAACGTAATTCCATTTTACGACTTGTTTCAATACATGCTTTCAATTCATCATTCTATGAATGAATCAAAATCAAAATGTAAAATAAAATATTGCTCATGTAAAATAACAATGAAAATAATAAATAAATTTGAGTTTTCTAAACATTTAGTATCCAAATAACAATTACAGTATATAAACTGATTCTTAAACGATTGGTTCCTTGTCATTGTTGTTACTGACTAGTTGCCTTCATCAGTAGAACTTATTTCTTTTATTATTCCAAGAAAAAACACACATATTGTACAGTGCCAAAATATAAAAAGGAAAAGAATATATATGTGAAACAATCAAAATGATTAATAATCTGATCTGGGCTTGATATGAAAAACTACAAATTTCAGTCTGTTTAGAAAATAAATTTACACTTGTATTTCAAACTTCCCTGGATAGTGAATCTGTGTTATGCAATAGAGTACAAATGAAAATTATCTCATGATCGGACTATTGAGAAATCGACTAGAAAAAACATTCAGATTATATGCTTCACATGACTTGATTTTTTTCATATTTATTGTTTAAGCTTTGGTCTTTGAAGAAGGGTAATTTAATCTGTAGTCTTAGTCACCCAGGGTTTTAATGAAAATATAATGTAGTCATATCTTGAGATTGATATTATTTGTTTATTTTAGAGTAGTACAACACTTCAACACAACCTCATGTTGTCTGTAATTTATCCGAATTAATTTTAAAAATTGTCACATAACGATTTACTAAATTAATCAAAAGTTTAATTTGGAAATGAAATTCCCGGTTGTTATCGGTAATAGTAGTGACTATCTTTATCGTACCTATATCGATACTGAGATCAGAACAATTCAAATTTATCATTATTTTGAATGATGTACTCAGCAACAAATTATAGTTTTCATTTGGATATATTTGTCCAGTTTGATTTAGAATTAGTTTGATGACAAATTCATCAATTTAGGACAATTTTGGGATATTCAGAAAAATATCCCAAAAATTATCCCGTTAAGTCTAATCCTATCCTTGAAAGTGAAATGGTGTCATTTTCCTATTGGTCAATATTTATTTCACGTGTCGTTTCCCTACTTGTCAATATTTATTTTACGTGTCATTTTCCTGTTGGTCAATATTCACGGTAGTCCTGACTATATAAATATGCATTTTTCTGTAAAGTATTATTCCTATTCTTATTCTTTTCTTGATCCCATAAACAATTTCATCTGAGGTTGGTGTTCTGATATATTGGAGATTGGGGAACAGTATTGGGGTCGTACTGGGATATCTGAAGTTGGTAAGTCGGTAGAAATTAGAGTAGTCACCCCGCGGTCCACAATAGAAAACATAGTCAAATCGAGGAAATCTGGTCAAAATTCACAAGTGTCAAAAAGAAATTCATTAGGTGCTTTCCCCAACATTAACAACTGGAAGGTATAAATACAAATATTAATTAACAATGTTTTGAATTATTAAATACGTATACATTTGTGATAGATGCTGAAAGCGAAACAGTTTACCAGTAACTATAAGAAGTATTTCCATGTTCTCTGTAATAAGTTACCTAATGCTGTTGGTTTACTCAATGTCATTTTTTAGAAAAAAAAGTTTTTTTTTAGATTTTAGTTTTTCAAAATGACTTGTTTTAACTGCTAGAATATAAAACACCATATTGTTTAGGATGATTCTTATAAACCTAACAAATCTATACTTTAGAAAAAATAATAATTAATGAGTTATTATATAAATATAACTCTAGTTAGTAATGAATTATCGAATATTTGAAAACATTACACTTGTCTTCTCCCATATTTATTTTCTGACTAATCTGTTACTTCAAAAATATCTGATTGATCTGTTCAATAATGATGAATAGCTTTTTAAACAATTTATCATTTCAGCTTATGTGTTTCCAGCTAGAAGCATTTATCCAACTAATGAACCATTAGCTTGTAGTATAATAAGCGGAGATTATTTCCGATATGTGAAGAAGGCTCTCAGGTGAATTCAAAGAAGCTCTGAAAGAGCCGAAGATATTCCATCTAATTAGCTTTTGGGAGGAATCTCGACATGTAGCTTCCTGATTGGACAAATCCTAAGAACCCCTGCATGCGTATTGAATGACTGTAGTGATTATTTCGTTTTTTTTCACTAAAAACTATAAATATCTGAGTGTTTTGTACCATATTTAACACTGTTTAGAATAAGATTCCTTCCCATTCGTCTTCTTTCTTCTAGTTTGCAAATTGAAAGGTTCAAGAGTTCGAGTGCTTCAAGTTGTACGCGGTATAGCTTCAATTCTGTTTTATATCATCAAATATGTAGTGAAAAATATGTAAATCTTTAAGTTTTAACCAACACGGAATAAATAATGCATCATGATTTATTCACATGTCTAATCAATCAGTTCACATATAATAAACAATTGAAAACAATTACAGATACACGAGCAAACATAAAAAGGAAATTACTTATCATCAACAAATAAATTTATATAAATTGTAATAAATGAATTAATTAGTTGATTAATTGACAAAAATCAATTTGAAACTTACAGAACAATTACCAGTTAGATTTAAATTTTTACGTAAATGTTGTAGATCATCTACTCGTTCTGGCGGTGAAATAAATATTACATATGGATCAAGACCACTTGAACGTATTTTACGTAAAGACTGTAATAATAATAATAATAATAATAATAATAATAATAATAATAATAGTAATAATAATAATGGTAATTATAATAAAGTTTTTACCGTAAAATTCAGTTACTAATAATTTGGCAAATACTGATTCGGTTAAGTTTTAACAAGCATATGATGCTTTTTTAAAATAGTAAATTCAATTAAGGAATGGTTTTGTTGTAATTCATTCAAAGTATGCATTAATTTTTTAAAAAAAACTGATGTTTACACCTACCCGACTTTTCTGTGTTGTTTACGTGTTTTGTAATTCATACATTGTTAACTCTGATTAGACATAAGATTAATTGTGTTGATCATAAATTTTATATAAGCTATACGTAGTGCTTAATATGAACATTATATGTAATCATGAATTTAACGTCGATAGTATGATTTGGATAATTTTTTGATTAGCGTTTTTTTTTAGCGAGTTAGTTTTCTAGGGGATGGGGTCGCTAACGCCATGACCAACCCTCCTCCTTTATCCGGGTTTGGAACCGGCAGTAGCCCCCGAGGGGCTCCAGCGTAAGTAAGTTTGATTTAAGGAATTAAATTTTCCTTTACTCGACAAATGTGATAAGTATTTGTCGGTAAATATGTTAGATAATAGGATTGATTGACAATTAAATCCAGTATACGTGATTTATCCTATTTGATAGACTGGTCGAGCACAGTTCTGAAATAACAACGATGGGAATATATTAAACCTTACAGTCAATTATTATCATTATCATGTTTCATATGACGAACAACGTAATGTAGGGTTATGTTATCGGTTGGCTTTATCTGAAATGATTTGTGTCACCAAGTGATAGGTGTTCATAAAAATCAAGTTTAATGGCACAAAGTGAAAGGATATCAAAATATGGCCTAACTTGTCAGTAAAATATAAGTCAGTTTACAAATTAAGAATGGTACACTTGTAGTCAAAATATCTAACAAAAAATAAATATGATTGAAATTGGTTTAGAATGTCAATAATTGCTAAATGTTCAATTTGTAGATCATTCAGGAATCTATTGGATAAAAGTGTGATCATCAAGCTTGCTTATTCCCAGTTATATCAACACTTGTTGAACAAGATTGTGATTACTTTTGATCCAAGTAGTCAGTTAGATAAATCGTTAGATCCTGAATATATATATATATATATATTTAAGTCAACGCTGAAAGATAAGGGTACATTCAGCTGACAGTTTCTAGTAGTCACATGCATATTCTGTATTCAGTCCATTGTCTATTCACAATACAACGTATAAACGTAAGTGATGGGAATGAATGTTGTTCAAAATGCAGTAGTGCAGGATGTGGTACTTTGAATTACATTTTCTTTAAACTTGCTTTACCAATCTAAACAAATCATCTTAATAACTGAAAATTAAATAAGAAGATTCATTTTATGGCCAATTTTAATGTCGTTTCTGAGTTCAATATTTGGTTAATACTACGGAACCCCATTAAAAATAGCTGAACAGCTCTTTAATATTATTCGACATGTGCTCCGTAGTTTTACCTATGAAAGAAATTTTTGAATGATTTAAGTCCTTGATTGAAAAATTTACCTAGTGAAACTTCAATTACCAATCAATTAATCAGAAAGCAAACCGTAAACCTTCTAGATAGAACCACGAAGAACAAATGTACTTGAGATCTACAAAATACCATTTTAACACACGAGTATCTAAGACTGAACGAGATAACTAAATTAAACAGAGTATATTTGTACATATAAAGCCTTCAACATATAATTTTTCAGTACGTTGTTATCAGTTATTATTTTGAATCACATCTTGTTTGCGGGTTGGAGTTACTACTAATTGTTTCAATCACTAAGTTACCGATCAACTAAAACTATAGTGTGAGCTACTTATGCAAACAGATATAAGTATTATGTAGAAGGAGTTGGAAGTGGAATGTTTACCAGTAGAAGATTGAAATAAAAAGAAGTGAAAGAAAAACAGAGAGCAATCAGAATAACAACAGGATTGAAAGAATGATGGAGTATGTGCAAATGGTGTATATGATCTATGATTTCCATATTTTACAAACTGAAATAAAACTGATCGTATCAATATTCAATTATCATATATTAATTATGTGGCCAGCGATGGAATCCAGGATATATGTTTCCTCCTATTCAGGACTTGGCTTTGAGATAGAGCTGAGCTTGTGCTGTTAATCACATTGAGACTTTAACTTAGTATCTAATGTATCAAACACCAACTCTTTACTCATTAAAGTACCGAGTCCAAACAATCAATAGCTTGATCGAAAAGCATAATGGTATTAGTAAGGCTTTGTAATTTACGCTCTAATTAACTCAAACTAATCAATCTCCGTTACTGTATATGTAGCCTTGGAGGATTGATTCAAAATCGAGTCAATATAGCTTCCTGGATTCCACTGTAAAACATATAACAAATAAACTAAAACTTACGATAAAAAGAAATATCAAGACAATCCACTCATGATGTTGATTTAGTAACAGAGGTTGATCAATTATAAAACCGAATATCAACAACGGGAAGTTAAAAGTACACTGACTGATAAAAAAATTTAAATTGTTAACATAAAAGCTTACATCAGGTCTTAAAGATATACAACATATTTTGCCTTCATTTACTAATTGTTGTACAGTTAATTTACTAGTTCCATAATAATCACGATTAAATAATCCCCATTCAATGAATTCTTTTTGTTTACGTTTTAATCGAAACTCTTCTTCTGTAATACAAATATAAGAAAATTTCGTATCTGCCTTCAAATTTGAATTTGTTGTATCTAAAAGAATAATTAAAAGAAAAAAAGGAAACAATTACGATGTTATTAAAAAAGAATGTTGACAGCATAGTTGGCAATCATAATCAAAGACTACTGCTTCTAACAAAAAAAGTCAATAAAATATTTAATGGATTAAAACAATGAATGATTACATATTTATAAAATGAACAAGATAAATGAGTAACTGTTGACTCTTCAACTGATAGTAAAGTACTGATTATTATTTATAAAGAAGAATAGTTGAATACCATTCTACACAAAAAAAATCGACTTATCCTACTCTACAGTGAGTTATTTTACATGTTTCTAATATAGATTCAACTCAGTATTTAAAATTATGTAAGAAAAAGATACAATCGTATACGGTTTTAGGATTAACAAGGAAATAAACTAATGTGAAAATATATTTGATAAATTTTAGACATATTATTCATGTTTTAATACATTCGAAATATGCTTACTAATAAATTCTTCAGAATTTGTATACTATGTATACCTGAATCCTAGTATCGACATTCACAACCCAATTATACTAAATCTTGTTACTAGCAGGTAATATCGAGACCACTGTTCAATATGTATATAAGTAAAAAAACTGACCGAATTTAGCCTTGAATATCAACAAAGAGAAATTATAAACCATCAGTAATATTCATATCACCGTTAGAGACCATTTATTCATAACATTTGCTGCTTAAGTGGGTGGCTGTCTGCACTTAGTCGCTCGAGGAATAACGCGTTGGATATTTGAAGCGAACAGCACTGGGCTCGAGTCTCGTGTGAAAATCACCACAAAATGTGAGCACATCCAGCTAACGAGTTCCAAATGGCAAAAAACTTTGCTCCTGGATTTCATTGCTAGCTAAAAATCCATTCATTTTATTAAAAAAGCCAATTTTATAGATTATTTTACTACATTTTAGCCAGTGAAACAGATTCACTAAATAATATCCGTAGAGATTTCTTTGGAGTAGCATTAACAGATACTATAATGTAATTTGTATTTTATGCTAAAAGCCAGTCAACTATCGTACTTATACAACCACTGTTAGCATCATCATCATAAACGATTTTCGAAATGAAACTGTTTGAAAGAACAGTGATAAACTCAAAACTAGATGTGTTACTTGTAATAAATGTCACGTTACAAAATAACATTTGATGTTTAACTAATGAAGTTTATTCGTCTGAAAGGGTACTACATAAGTGACAAGAATAAAGGTTTTAGAAGCTAGTATCTCACTATAATGTATATTCAGACATGTATAATAGTATTGATAGCCATAGTATGTGTGCATAGCAGAGATCTTTTATAAACACATGATGTAATATACTCTCTGAAGTTTCAAGTGTTTTCAGAAAATATTTTGAATTTCATCATACATAATATGTAGTCAAGTAGCTAAAATTGTAAAGCATTACATACCTATTTGTCAAATAATTACCGTAGATCAATATTTTTGTTGACAAAAATTTGTCTACAGAAAAAGACAACAATATGACTTACAAATAGCCGCTTGAAAAAATCGATCAGGTTCTCGTTGAATGAGATGCTGTAAAATTTGTTGCCGTCCAACATGTGCTGGCCCAACAAAGACAAGCGGCCGTCTACGAAGTGGTTGTGGGATATACTGAGCGACAGGTTCATAAGTCCATAAACTATAATGGATCATATAACCACGAGCAACTTCTTTATCTAACCATGCCACAGGATCATCACTCGACTGTAATTCATTATCTGGGACTGAAAGTACGAAGGAGAATTATTTCTTAACACTCAAAACTAATATAAGATGCCAGCGAAAGAAGGCATAGGAGTGCAGTTTTAAAGAGGTAGCTTAAATAAATCAATCAGGAATTCTTACATTAAAGTTCATTCGTAACGTAGTGTTTTTACTCTCTGCACTAACTTAATTTCAATTCGGAATTGGATACTGCACACCCACGTTTGGTCCAATTGTAACTAATTATTAAGTTTTCTATGATTAACTGATGAACAATACTACTACTGTTATCATTATTATTACTGCAAGTAGTGATGTTAGCTGAAAACCTAGTTTGGGCTTGATTTTTTAACTTAAACTGTCACACTACTCATTAGTACAGAAAAAGAAATTTGATAAATTCTAAAAAGTAGAAACAAATGAAAAACACTAGATAACGAGACGATAAACATGAGGATATACAATTATAAAGTACATGATGAGTGAGTGTAAATGCTTTCTTGAAATTCACTTATAATCACCTCGCCAGTGCTACAAAAGTTTTCGACACTACATATTAATGTTACAAGTAAATGAGTTAATATGTAGAGATTTAAGTATATTATTACTGCAATTTTCAGAGAGAATCGACTTGAGCCATGGAATTACAGAAAGTTTAGGAATTACGGCACTTCTACTTTGAGACTCTTCAGCATTGAATGCACACGACTCCATAAAACAATGAGACTAAGAACTTTAGGTCACGCAGTAAACAAGATGCCCTGAGATTGCTTAGTCCTGCGGATACACCATTTCTATCATAAAAACACCATTATTTCTCGTTGAAATCTTTCAAGTGTTTTTGATTTAAAAATGTTGATTTTTTTTTGGTAGTTACGCATTCATTCCCCCCCCCCAACTTAAACAACTTATTAGAGCTATTCACACAAGTAAAGTATGTTAGAAACATAGTAAATAATCAATAAATAACCTTGTTGAATTCTTTTTGATGTCATTTACGCAAACTATATACTCGTATTTAAAGCTACTGAAAAATACCTATTACACAGCAAATTATTTTGAAGTTTTAGATGCTATAAAAGGATTCTATATCGATTGAGAAGTTAGGAGAAAATAATATGATAAAAACCAATGTATGAGAGATAACTGTTCACTTAAAGAGTTTGAAAAAGTTATCGAACAACGTATAAACAAAAAATTTCATCTTCTTGATGTTTTATTAAAATTGTCAAAGGTCTCCCTACAAAGATTCATACATAAAAAACAAATGTAGAACTATCAATATACGAATTTCCAAAGTTTGGTTCCATTGAGCAGAAAGAGAGATTTAATTCACCCTTTATTTCCGAGAGTCAATAAACTATGCTTCGACGACACGATAAACAACGAAATATTTCAACTTTGATAGATGTATTCATCAAAAATCACAATCCATTCAGGTTAACTGATAAAAACCTAAAACCGAAACCACAGCCTAAGAGGTCATACGCAGTCCGAATGAAAATCTTTCTCATGAAAATTGAGTTTAAAAGAGTAATTAAAGTATGAATTATGTGAAACAGACTTTCTAAGTCTATGAAATGTAAATGTAAAGGCACGGATTAGCGAAACAAGGACAGTATTCCTACAGTTGAAGAACATATGGAACTTAAAACAACTGTCAGCCAATATCAAAGTCACAATTTTTAACACGAACGTCAAGACAGTTCTACTGTACGAAGCTGAAACGTGAAGAACTACTACAATAATCATCAAAAAGGTACATGTATTTATAAACAACTGTCTACGTAAGATAATGAATATCCGTTGGCCGGATACCATCAATAACAGCCTTCTGTGGGAGAGAAAAAACCAACTTCCATCTGAGGAGAAAATTAGGAAAAGATGATGGAATTGGATAAGACACAGATTGAGGAAATCATCAAAGTGCATCACGAGACAAGCGCTAATTTGCAATCCTGAAGGAAAACGGAAAAAAAGAAGGCCAAAAGACACACTGTATCGGGAATCGGACATGGAAAGCATGAACAGCAACTGGAAAGAACTAGGAAAGATTGCCCAGGACGGAATTGGATGGAGAATGCTATTAAGAGGTCTATTCTCCTCCATGAGAGGTAACAGGCGAAAGTAAGTAAATCAGACCGCATCATACTATAAAATAGAAAATAAAAATTATACAAATTCAAGCCAAAAGTGGCTGTGAGTGTGGGAATAAATTAGGAATAGTAAGTCGTATAGTAGAAGCTAAGAAGTCAAATAGAAACTTATAATGAAATGAATATGAATATACTTATAATATAGGTATTTAATAATTATACAACAAGAATACATATATATACAATAACAGTCCATAAATAGATCCTAGCAGTTAACATTCACTTATTCTTCGTTTGGATATAACAAACTCTAATGATTTTTTGTTAGTTTTCAGTTAGTTGCCATTATCACTTAGATAATTCCAATTTTATAATTGTAAAGCAGAAAAATATCTTCCACATATTTATTTTCACTTTTTTCTTTTTTAACTTCTCGATCATTGAGCACTTCTCTTTTGACATATGAAATTTACGGACAGCTTTTACGTTATCCTTCTTTTTATAGATTACAATACTTTTTAACTTAATATGAATACACCTGTATAGCTTGAGTAAATGATATTATAAAAGAGAAATTTTTCATTCAATGTCTGAATGGATTTCTTCCCTTATTTGATCTTATAACTCACTGACATTTATTTTGATTTTCGTTGACTTCCAAGATAAGATACCTATTTTCAAATATATCCATGTTCATTAAAGCAAACTTAGAATTATTTCTTAAACAGTTTTTAATTTCCTGTATATCACAAAATTACCCAAGAAAATGTCAGTCGTTAATGAAATCAGCTTCCTAGAGATTGACAGGGTATTTAAGGCCATCTTTAGTAGGCAATTTGTAGAGTTACAAAAGAGCTCAGTCCATATAAATGGATGAGTGTCATACAGCTTACAGAAAAAAAATTAAGTTACATTTCCAAGAGGTTACGTGAAGTCTTAATCAATATCAGTTAAAGTAAATAAGAAATATAAAAATTTCCCTTTATTGTTTGTAATTACACGATATTTGTCACACCGTAATGTTTATACAAATACTTGACCAATTAACATTCAAAAAATGACTTGATTTGAAGTTGGTTTAAGTCCTAGACTGGCATCAAATGATAAGCTATTTTTCGAACCAGAAGGCACTAAATAACTATTTCATATAAGTGTTGCACTCCTTAATAATTTATACTCACGATCATGCCAGAGATCAGAACAAGAATATACAAATCTTGCAGTAAGCAAAATTATCGTGAAAACACGTTTTTTCTAAGTGGTTTTCTAATTACCATCAGTCCATGACTAAAATCACTTGACTGCTTGTTTATAAATCAGAGTGATTGTTTTTTTTCCTTATTTTCAACTCCAAGTTATCACTTTAGTCTCTTATTCCATTTAATGTATTACACGTTAGAAGTACAAATTTCAGAAAGTAAACTACTCATAACAAACTGTAGACCAACGTACAAATAGTCAGTATAGTGAATACAAACAAACGAAAAACATTAAAAAAATTATTTGTTGAATATAGTTATTAAACAACGACTACTAAAGAATATCACAAGCAATCAAAAGCTAACTCATATACATACATAAATAAATGGACACAAGTTACTACAATAATTTGCATATATCTTTATTGATCAATGTATAACTAGTTAAAGATAGGTGCCTTTTTAGTATCATCTGAAAAGCCAATCGATATATTGCACGCATATAAGCTTTAGACAACTATTTAATCCACTAGATGTATGTTTGTTACTAAAACATAATATAGTAGATAGAAAAAGTGCCGCAGCAAAGATTAGCATTGAAAAAAATTCTTGAGAGCTATGAAAAAGCATTTTATTAATTAATCTATCTGACTGTAATTGGACCGATAAAGGCTTCAAGATAATTAGAACTTAGAGAGAATTGAATAGTTGTTTTATTGTATCTTTTAAACTTTCCAACAGTATATAGCTGGGTATCATACGGGATTGAAACTGTAACATACCAATGAAGCTGAATTAAGATTATGCTGTCAACATGATGACCGTGATCAGTAGTTGAAGACGTTAGGTGACATGGTTCAGAATCGACTACAGATGAAGATGTATCTACTTCTTATTTTACTCTAGATTGTGAGTTTCAGTATTCCTTCATGCATATCCTTTCATTCTGTCTTTTCAAAACGTATTCTCAAACTCTGGTCTTCCCAATTATCATTGATATGTATTATCTCGATACTCTTCATATTTATTTTGTTAATGCAATCTCGTTGTGCTAATGTGGTATGGCAACTTGGACCAACACACATTTGTGCCAGGCTCTATGTTGTTTATGACTGACCGACTGTCGTAAATTGATTTAATTCATAAAGTGTGGATCATTGGATTTTGTCATAAGATTATTTACCATAAAACTAAAAGATCTTAGATTTAATCCCATGTGAGATGTAGGGTGTGTATTGCTCTAAAAGGACCTTAATCCAGGATACAACAACTGCTCAATGTTTAATAGATTTTTTTCAATAATTATCTAGCTGAAGTTAGTGTGTAATTAAAATTGCTTTTTAACTGTACAAATGTTTCCACATAATCATTCTAGCCAATAATAATCAATAAATGACTATTCATTTGGGCATTTAAGTAAATGTGGACAAATTAACCAAACAGATAAGGAGTAAAAATTAAAATACTATGGTATGGTGGTGTATGCTACTTATATTGAGATATAAATAGTATGTAACATCAGTCGAAAGTAGAATGCCTGGTAGAAGAACATTGAAATGAAGAGAACAAAAAAGAAATCGAAGAACAATCAGAATAACAACAGAATTACAGGAATAATAGAGTATGTAAAGGATAACGCAAAGATGTGCAAATGATGTATTTAATGCATGATTTTCATATTTAACTAAACCACTGTGTGATTTTGCATTAAACAATAAATCGGTTTTTTCCCCTGAGTTTTTGTTTGCTACAGTACAAGTAGTGGTGATAACATTGAAATGACAATGAAACCGATAAAGGATTCACTTATGTAAATAACAAGAAGGCATAAATACATCTCACAAAAGTGAAAATCACTTCAAGTTGTAATTATGTAAATAACTAAAGATCTACTCATACGGTTAAAAAAAGATAACTCCATATTTCTGGTAGTTGTCAGGATAAATTTCGAAATTAGTAAGAAATCATGTGACAAAATACACAAACGTTGTGACGTTTAAAATTCCAGAATTTATCTACATAAATCTTTAAATGAATATGGCTAATTCAAGAGTTATTAATTAAAATACAGTTAAATATTTAGTTTTAGATCAAAGTTGAACAAAATAATTACCAACTTACTAACAAAACACTTACCAGGAACAAGAGATGGATAATACTCGCCATGGTTTTTATCTTTTTTCCAGGATCTTAAACCTTCTAGACATGGAGACGATCTATTTGTTGAAGAGAGTTTCCGTCTATTTCGTTTACGACGTGCACGTAGAGTTCGAAGATCATAACCATGTTGACCCCATACTGGTCCAGCAGCTAATAAAGGAAATTAAGACAGAAGATATAGATTCTCTGATATCATCTACTTCCTAGTGATCACTGATCAGTCTCTACAAGTATATCATTCATACTGTTCGGTTGTACATAAATCTGTGAATTTCACAAGAACTTTGTTTCCAATTATATTCATAATAAAAGATGAAAACCAGTTAAAGCGTTAATAGTTTTTTATTATTGTTATATTAATAAGTATGATTAACCTCTTTTAGTCGAACCTAGCACATTACCTATATTTAAAATGCTTAAACTATTTTTATAAATCATATATCAGCTCCCCGATACTTTAGTGTAATATTTTGAGACAATTACTTTGAAAACTGATGGTGTTTTCTTATTACTAAAGCGAGTACATAGTTTCGCCGAAGTTAATATCTATATACTGAAAAATATCAAAGGTATCTGTAGGTACAAGACTTCATTACAGACATATCCAGTTATCTTAAATCAAGCATTAGTTCATTTTCTGAGTTGCATATTTTAGTCAATAAAATTTGTGTTGATGAGCCATATAAAGTCAATAAAAATTTCATGAGTAAATCGCTCGACCCAAACAACAACGATTCACCAACAAGAAATACACTTATCAATAAGAATAAATAATAACAAAAAACAAACCTGACCATTCATTGATTGCATTAACTGAGGAAAGATCAGTAGGTTTTGTTAAACCAGACATGCGATCACCATAAGCTGAACTTAACACAGTACTATTCATTACACAACGTGAATCATCTTCCGGTGTAGATACAACTCCATCCGTTAAATCACCTTCACTTGTATTCACAGATGTCAGTTCACTTTTTGAATCAGCTTGATTAGTATCTCGACCTGATGGTGAGGTAGATCTACTACCAAAGTGTGCATTTTTAAGTGTTGGAAATTTTATCCCCAAAAACCTCTTCTCTTTCGATTTATTTGTAGGCTTTTCTGCTTTATTAACAGTTGATCCAGTTGAATCAGAGTCTGTTGAATCTTCTTCCAATTCAATGTCTTCAGTTCCACTAGTTAACCAATATTTTAAGCGTAATATAGCACGATTACGTTGATAAATTGGACTAGGTATGAGACCAGCTAATGTTCCGATTGCACCAGATAAACCACGTTCTTCATCACTTCTATAATAATAGATTCATAAAAAATACATAGAATAAAAACGAATGAATTAGTCATGAAAAAATATTACTAATAAGTAACATTAAACACTGATATACTTCGTGTAACAACATAAACAAAATACGAACAAGTTGAAGACCTGTTTTTACCATAAACCTAAATTAACTAAAGCAAAATACTGAAATAACAAAACGCTGAGCTGTGCTTTCACTTGACACATTAGACAAGAATACCTCAAATAATCTGTTAGCTGTTAAGCCAGTTATTTCCTTAAATTAACCTTAGCATATTCATTTTTGAAGTAGCTATGTCTAAACACATTCAAAATTACAATAATACATGGGATATATCGGATTCCCAACACATGATAAAGAGTCATCGGTAAAGAATAATAGTTATTATGATTTATCAACTTACCATAGGTTTGATATACATTCACAAATTAATCATCCACACACAAGTGATTCTGTAAATATCCCTAATAAACAGAAGTATTTTTGTCCCATATAGGTGGATCATAAATCGTTGCCTTATTCTTCATTGAGATATCTAGGCGGATAACTATCACATGTTTTCCTATATATACACACATAACCAACTAAATCATCACTACGAGTCAAACGCATGTCTACTAACATCTGGAAGTTATGAATAAGTACAAATAATTGATCATATCAAGATATTATACATCTAACAAAAACAAAACTAACTCACCGATAAGCTTGCCACCAATTTGGATCTTTCCTGCCTGTAACGTGTATAATGTCTCCTTTGGTAAATCCTAAACCCAATTCTTTACATGCTATATAACGGTCGTCAGTGGGTTCATAAGTAAATAATGCACGTAGATGTATCTGTCAAATAAACAACGTGTACACAGAGATCAGGAAAATACAAATAATAGAACGAAAATCATCAAACTTATTGACACAGACAACTCCAGGTAAATCAAAACAAATAAATTTGAAAACAAACCCTAAAATTGGTAATAGATAGGTCAGTTCTGAAATTCGAAACATTAACCGAATATCATTACTTATCAGCAGAATAGTTTTAATTTATACAATTTGTATTTATACGTGAATAATGAAGTGAATAGATTCAATTCACTGAACCATTAAATTGATGATTTTGTAATCTAGAAAATTCCGTGACTTCCGTTAGAACACTTAAAGCATTAAGTTAAGAGAACGGATCTATTCAAAAAATCGCTTTTTCAGTATTTACATTTTTCCATGGAATAAAGGCTTAAGAAATGTGTAAATTTGCCTGGATTCCATCAACAATAGACTTCTGTGAGAGAGAAAAAACAGCTTCCAGGTGAAGGGAAAATTAGAAAAATATTATAGAAGTGGATAGGATACATATTACGCATATCATCAAACTGCATCACGAGGCGAACCTTAACTTGGAATCCTGAAAGGAAACGAAAAAGAGAAAGACTCAAGAAAACACAGCGTCGGGGATTAGAAGGAAATATCAAAAGGATGAATAGCAACTGGAAACAACTGGAAAGAATGGCCCAGGACAGAGTTGAATAGAGAATGCTGTTGGTCGGCCTACACTTCTCCACGAGAGGTAACAGGTGAAAGTATCATATGTAAATAAATGGATATGTTTATTCAAATAATTGTTGTCTGTCCTGATTACTAGTAGTTAATATTACAAACCATCGTTTCCTGCTGTTCTTTTTCATCTAAAAATTATCAAACATTATCTTCGAATTTCAATAGTTGGTGTACACACAGTTACTACTAACAATTCTTAGTTGGCATATATGGTTTCCAATATTTACTTTTCAATTTAAAATTCTGCCTCCTACTGATTACATAATTATGACACGTGCAATCGGAATAGAAGGTTGGGTCCAAGAATGTCCCACTAACTATTACACTCAACTACTATCACAGTTTTGGTTGCTTTTTAGTAATTCCGTTTGTTATTCTGTCAGTTTCCTTCACAATCTAGCGCAGATATATCTCTCATTTAGATAAAAATCAGGGGCAATTTCTTTTACTAAAATAAAAATAAAACTAAGTTAAAATTTGAATGATGTTCCTCATTACAGAGGAGTACTGAGCGATGTGCATTGATTCAAACCTTATTGAGGTTCCGGTTACCCCCAAACCCAACGAGTTGCGTTTCTTAATTTCAGCTGTCCTAAGTAATTAAAATAACCGATTGCATATTGTTAGAGTTTAACTTTCGAGTTAAAAATAAAGTTCAGTATTCTAATATTATAAACTGAACATACAAACAGAATTTCAGTTCAGTTTATGAGCTGAATATATCTTGTAATAAACCATTATGGAGAGTATATAATTAAAAATCATAGTTGAACGTTTTATTGTTGCATCATTTAAATTCATGATCACTATTTTTTTCCCATCCTGTCACATCACCTCTTTTAATCATCATCTTATACAAATAATAAATGTCGAGAATTACAAGACAATACTTTCATAAAGAAATGGTTTAACGATTAGACTACTTGATTTTTAACCACTATAACGTACAGTCGAAAATGATTCTCTATCTATTTTCTTAATCTGATAATTCAAATAACATCACTAAATCTAACATGAAATATTCCAATAGTTGAGATCATGAGTCAATTAAAGCTAGAACACCATAGAAAACCTGGAAGCACTGGACGACCGTTTCGTCCTACTGTGGGACCCCTCAGCGGTGCGCATCCACGATCCCGCCCCGCGAGATTCGAACCCAGGACCTATCGGTCTCGCGTGTGAACGCTTAACCTCTAGACCACTGAGCCGGTACCTAATGGTGTTAATGTCTAACTTTAACTAATCCACGAAATTGAGCGACACATCCACCATGGTCTTCAGTGAGTTACTATCTCAACATATTTGTTTAAAAACTTTGTATTCAATTATTAACCTGTGCTCACAAACAAATTTTAAATAATTATAATCGTAAGAACTAAAGATGAATTTGCTAGAATCAGTTATTCGCCTGAATAAATGTTGTCTTGGTCAAGATTATTAAGCTAATAACAAGTTCCTAATTATAATGATAATAAGAAAAATATAGAATTATACTTACAATTCCTTTAGTCGATATTGATGAATATGGATCAAGTGCCGGTGCAACAAGAAGAACAATTCTCCCATGTAGTGAAGCCTAAAATAGAAGTTGTTGTTTTTTAAATGCAGATGTATTATTATTTGATATAAAACAAGATTAATACGTTTGAAACAAAACTTCTTAAATTCAATTAAAATGAAAAATAACCTTTTATAATCATTTCAAGACAGTAAGTTTCTAATGAGCATTAAATGTCGTTGTTTTCAAGTTGAATAATGAATGGATTAAGAGTGAACATCTTTATTACATAAGAGTGAAGCACACTTAAATAAATGCTACTAAACATTACAGTGTTTCATTCGGACGATCCTATTACATGCTATTTCTGTATTATTCTATTACTAATTTTTTATTAGGTGTAAATTACTTCATCTCTATTGGAATATAGTCAATGTAGGTATAGACACTTCATCTTTAAACATGATCATAGCTTAATTAGGTTAACCTTTAAATCAATTAAAAAGATCCCTTATTACCAATACACAATCACAGCCAAATTAAATGAAAAAGTGCCAATTTTTAATTAATTTCTAAGGGTGATTGCTACCCTGACATGGTGGTCGGTTATGTTTACTTATCGTAACGACCAAATCGAGCTATATTGGCTGGAATACTTATTCTTTTAGGTCCTACTATACTTGACAAGGCGGTTGAAAAGGGATAAGACTAAAAGCAAAAACTTAGAGTTCGAAGGCAAAGTACTAATGTACTAATGTCTGATGGCAGTGACATCCTTACCTTAGACAAATGGCATTTACGGCGATGCTGCCTTCCTACATCAAGAGGAATGGGCTAGAAAAGGTAAGGATTAAAATCAATACAACTCATCTTGCCTTACTAATTTACGCTTCAAGCGGTAATATCTTTAAAGTATTTGACCAATACATCAAGAACTACTTGAGAAAAAGCTATATGTGACCAACCTCAAGCAGTTTTCCTTTGGACTCCGTGGTCACACTACCAGGTCGCCCAGGCTAATACTAATCCAATTTCCCTTTCATGATCTTCAAGAAACATCCTTTTACAGTGTAAACAACCAAGGAATGACCTCCACACATACATATGCAAACACCTCAAACAGTGCAGGGGATCACCTTGGTCACAAACACAATGAGGTTAATACAATCACATCCCTTCTTTACTTCTTAAAAATATTTTTATCCCTACTATCAACCCTTCTATTATAGCTTCATCTTAATCCCCAAAGCTAATTGTTAGAAGAGTGAACTAATCCGTCCCTGAAAATGTATTTATTTTATCTGGAAATGTTTGAATGTTCCTTTTACTCATATCTGGTTGTTATTTGATGAACGTTTGACAAAAGGATCCTAATAGCGGATTGTCCCACACTGTTATCTTATTTGAGTGCATCATGAACCAATTAAACATCTTTATCTTTATCGAGAGCTCTACTCAGTACCGATTTTTGTGAACATTAAAAAGTGACATACACTATGTTATGAAATCATAACTCAAATACTCCAAGTTCAATGATGCTTTTCAAACTGGAGGTATTCATTTTAACTCAGTATCCAAAGGAATGAAAGTGTATTTTTCAGAGAGATGAAAGTTCAGTTTGACTCTTAGTAGAAACATTAACATTCATTAAGGTGTGGACAAATTCTATTAACAAGTTATATATATGAAGATTTAGCTACTAATAACTAACAAATATCGTTTATTAGTCACAAAAAAATATAATTGACCTATAATTCTCATTTAAACATTAAAAACAAGAAGTTCAGTGACGGGATCTCTTTTCAACGAATTTATTATCAAGCTATACAATCGTATATATATGAAAAATCTTCATTTATATTAAAATTAGCTTAGATATACCATAAACTTAGACGGCAAAATACTAATGACCATCAGCTACAATTAGTTTGTCACCATTATATTACCATTTATAAATGAACCAGAGTGTTGAAGAAACCTTGAAAATATTTAACTGATTCATTGATTGCGTAAATGTATTGTGAATAAAATTGCTTACCATAATATCACATACTGTATTCAAATCTTTCCCCATTAGTTCAATTCCATTGACAGATAACAGTTCGTCACCTTCGTGAAGAAGATCTAGTTTACGAAATATTTTAACATAATGGAAAGTTTAACACAATACACCCCACAATGAGGTATTAAGAATGACAAATGAAGTCTTTAAGTTCCAAATGAATTGTAAACGTCAAAACGTTTACTGACAAGAAATGGTTTTCAACATTATTCAGTATAATTACGTAACTACCGAGTAAATGCTATGTCGTGATTTGGAAATCTTCAGCACTCGACAAGTATGAAAACACTCAGGACTAGATAGAGGTACTTTAAGCTTCAAAACAAAGTTGGTTTTAACCAATCTTTTTATATCTGAGATGTCATGGAGAATACCCAACGCTGAAACTTTGGTTAACAAACTCTATTTTATTTATAAGAAAGGAAAGAACAATAGAAAACTAATATCATCCTTAATACTGAAAAAAACTTATATCAGAGTACAACTAAAATTAATATTTCATGGTTGAAATCCCGAATCGACTTATCTAGACAACCATTAAAACCTTAGAACCATTCAACAGCTAGTTCGTTCTAGTATGAGACTTCTTTATAGTGCACACCCACGACCTCATCGAATATTGGACCCAGGACCCTTGGGTCTTGAGGATAGCTTTTAACCGTTAGACCTCTGCTTCAGTATCCAATGTTTCGCATGTAAACTACGAAATCCAACAATCTCCAAAAACCTCCTATGATATCAAGTGATATTTATACAAAATTCGAGTCACCATTTTTTAAAGATATAGTAATGTGTAAACAAACTTCACTCTACACAATTGGGTTAAGGACCAAATAGTTGTGCCGATATGAAGTTATCGATCGTTGATCTAAGCCATCTTCAGAGGTTAGAACCTCCCCGTTGAGGTTCACCCAATGATGGTTACCCCATGATTTTACTAATTGTTTTAGAACTATACTATTTTTGTTTAATTTGTTACTAACATAGGTAGTGCAATTTTTTTCAACGGACTTTTTATTCTGCTCCTGCTAATTTTCATTGCGGTTAGTTGAATAAACAGACATTTATACTAGATCCTTTGCTACTTATTACTGACTGATCACTATGATATTAACAGCCATCTTGAATCATGCAAACAACAACTCAAATAAATAGGACAGCATAATGTATCAAGACAAATTCACCAGTAATATGGTAATCACACTACTCATAGTGAGTGTCATATACATTTATGAATAACTATCATGTAACGAATATCCAAAGTCATACCATTACTTTATGATTAATTTTTGATTCAGATTAGCTACAATGTAATAAACTTTAGGTCTAGATTTCGAATTATTATAACTATAAACAAATTGATATAACAAACAGAAAAAATGAAATTAGTTTGTTAGTCATTTAAATACTTGGCTGGTGATATACACAGGTAGACGCTTGAGAATAGAGCTGACTATAAATAGTATTATTGTATGATTACAACTAATCTTGGGTCATTTGAGAGAAAAAGCCTGTAAGTCATATTCAATTTAGATTGTTTACAAAAGTTGAACGATTGTGGTATCTTAGATGAATTTTTAACGGTTGAATAGTTTTTTAAAGTTAGTTTAGTTAACAATAACATATTGATTACTAAGTTGTGAGTACTTTAAACCAATCAAAACAACTGTTACAATGAATAGACATGAATGAACATTAGTTACTCTAACACCATTTTTTTTTCAATTTTTCGTTAATCGTTTCCTATCTGATAAGTAGCTAAAGGTCACAATATCTCAACTGAATAGTTTACTTATAAATAACAATAAAAATTTTGTAACATATTCTCAGATATACCCAGTTAAATAGTTAATGGTTCTTTCTTTTAAAATCTATTCACTTGAGATTTAAGGATCGATTCTGTGAGTATAACTATCATTTGTGTCAACTTAGTTATGTCCATCTTCTTTTAAAATCCATTGAAATATCGAAGGAAATAATTGCACATTTATTTACATTGGTTACTTACTTGTCTTACAAGCTAAACCCCCATTAACAATCCGAGCAATTAGAATTGAATTTCTTTCCAAACGAACTGTAGCTCCCTGGCAAATATTACGGAAATAAAAACAGTAAATTTTATAAAAGAGAATTCAACAAATAAACATTTTCGTAAATTTAAAGAAATAGTGAAAAATATGTACTAATTTATACTTCATATTTTCATGAGCGAATTTATTATAATCAGACTTTTTCTGACTTACCAAAAATTCATTACCAGTTTTTTGAAGAATAACATATTTTAATCTAACTCCATGTTCTGAATAGGAGTCACGACCTTGATCATCGTATGCAAGTGTAGCGTAACAACCTGGGACAGAAGATTTTTGAATATATGAACTAGAAATAGAGTTTCTATCGATATCCTCTGACATGTCAAAACTTTCAGATGCAACAAAATCTTCATCAGCATCAAAAAGCCATGTATTTGCTAATCCATCCATAGCAATTAATAAGTTCTAAACAATAAGATATATTAAATGAAACTTAGAAATCATATGATTATTTCATTGTTTAGTGGAAATTTAAAATTTACTAAACAGTAACAACGTTTTAGTATATTGTAAATTATTTAGAAGACAACACACTATTGAAATTATAAAGTTATTATTCTGACTGTAATTCGCCAAGAGGTTTCATACAGCTGTCCAATAAACTTCACGTGAATCGTATAACTCAAAGGCAATGAAAATCAAATTAAATGTCATATTGACAAGAATTATCGTTAGGATAGTAACTTAACTATTTTGTCACATGACCTGTACTTTCTTATGATAATAAGTTATAATATGTACGTTGTTAGATTTGATAAAGTATGACATTTGATAATATCCTGAACTATTCTTAATTCACTCTCAATTCAGGTAATGGAGTGAATTAAGAATAAACTAATACATAATATATGCTGTGATCACATCAATCCATGAAAGTTAACCATCAAATCAATTAACTTTTTTTAATTTAATGCTATACTTGCAACTTTGGTGAAATTTACTTACTAGACCGTAATACATTCAAGCAATTTGAGAAACTTGATAAGTATTTACTAACAGTTAAAACACTAATATCACTACTATATAGTAATGTTGCATACCTGAAATAAAGGGGATGAGCATAAATTAAATATTGCGGAAATACAATTTAAAGTAAACGCATCAAATTGACCCGGATTCTTCAATGCAGTTAATAACTGTTCTTTAACAGCTTCCATCGTGTCGTATGCCAATCCAGCTAAAACAGGCCAACGATATCTCGGTTTAGGATGCATCACACTTTTACAAGTCTCATATGCTTTCGCAACTTTGTCATGCATAAGAAATGCTTTTGATAAACTTGGATCGGATAGAACGTTTAAAAGCCACTCCCATTGTTCTGTTTCTGAATCCAAAGTAGTTTCGTTTGTTGGAAGTGTGACGTCTGATGATTGAAATTTATTCTCATTCTCTTCTCTTGGAACTGGCATCTTCGTCCGCAGATAGCACAAAAGTTCCATGAGTTCTAAAATTTAACAAATCATAAACAAAAGATAGTTATTTTATAAAGCACGAAGAACTATCATAGTAAGATGAAGTAAGCTTCTTTCATTTCGTATGCTCTAAACCGTTCACATGTATACTAATTTTATAAATAAAATGTTTTAAAAAAGAGTTTTGCGTTTAACATGTGTAAAGTAATTCAATTTGCTGATCAGGAGTAAGTAGTTACTTTCCAATACCTCATAAGTCCAATTTATAGAGAACAAGATAAGTGTGAGAAAGAGACTATTCTTGTAATCGACCAAAAGAAATATGTGTATATTGTAAGAAATATTGTAAAAAAAACCTAGTTACTGCAAAAAACACTCACTGAGTAATCATAAAAAGGTGACAATAATAATACTGAGATGGAGGTTATTAAATGAAGTGTTTGCAATCACAAACTAAATTCAGATTACAACGAAGATTTAGGGATTTATCTTATCAATAAAACAACTTCAGATTCATCTCCTAGTTACATGGTTTAAGTATAAAGACACTGAAATATTGTTAAAAAAGGTATGTTATTCCATCTCTCTGCAATTGGCAAACGTTCAATTCATGTCATGATATTACTGTAGACCCATAATTAACGCTGTAAGAGTGGTACTCAAAAATATTATTTTAATAGTGGTACATTACAACACTCAAAATTTTGGCGATAAAATCTGTTGCACTTGCAAGACTTATCACAACCAGGATATCAGTGACAGGGAAGTAATCCCAGACTATGTCTTTAGTATTTATCAAATTCTTAAGTTGAAACATGTCGCTGCTCCACACTAACATTTCTTCGGCTCCAAAATATTTAAATTTGCCGAATCACTCTTGTATAACTTCGTCACAGACCTGCTACTAAAACTAATTCTTCATATAATTGAGCGTTGGCAGACTGGTCTTTCACATAAAGACCTGTTGGTCGATACCTACTTGCCATGAAAAATTATGCCTATACATATAAGGTTGTGCGATCATATTGACCATCACTACCAATCTAAGAAGTATTTTTCACTCACTAAACGCAAAGGGTGGGATTTGTAGCAGAATCGTGTCAGTAATTATCCTAATAACAAACAATTGAATGACTGAGTAGATTAACATTTAGTCAGGAGTATTCTGCTTGTGACAAACAACAAGTTCTTCGTGGATTCCGAAAGTTGTTATTACGCAAAGTACTAAAGAATAATGAAGTCACAAGACAACCCCTCGATACACTCATTAAAACAACACCGAAAGAAAAAACACCAAGCAAATAAACTTTTGCTGTTAGAATAATAATATGCATGGATCATCAATAACAATTTGAATAACTTATTTATCCATATATGTTCTACCTCGAAACACTGATATATATAGGTATAACTACTACTTTTCTTAGCCATTCTTCATTATATGATTGCGTGAATGTTCTATATATCGTTTTGGGACAAAATATTTAGTACTTGAAAAACAAACAAATATTACATAAGTTTTATCTTTTTCGCCTAAATACTGTGATTCTATTTTTCTGTTTCCTTCATCAGTTTCCCTCCTTATTCTTATTAATACGACGGTTAAATTAAAGCATTATGATAATCTGTTGTTTAAGTTCAAAATAAAGTAAGATTACTACAAAAAAAGTATTTGACATTTTGTGTAATAAAACAGTTCTATTGATTTACAGTATATTTAGTAAAAAATATTCAAGACAATCATTTTAATGAGTTATCATTAAGTTTAAAATAATAGGAGCGTTACCAGTTATAAATCACAAAGTTTTATCAGCTAGTTTGAAGTTGAACTAGAGTTTTAGTTACCATAGAATATAAGGTTGACTGAATTCTATTATCTTAAATTTAATATGAACTACTGTCAGCTCTGAATATGCTTGCGTTATCTACTATCCTCTATTTGCTATTTTCAAAGTTAAGAAAGATCACGATTTTTCAGGCAAACCGTAATCTTGTTGCAAAGTTCAGCCACAGAAAAACATGTAAACTCTGAGGCTTTTGAAAGGTGAATGATCGATTATATCCATTAATAAATTTTAAACCCATCTAAACTATACAGAATTACATCTACGATGAAAGTGCCCGGTTCTTATATGAGTTCTCTGGTCCTATAATTATGATGTCTCTAAGATGAAATCCGTTTTAAGTGACCACATAAGATTCAAGTTAAATAAATGTACCAAGGACCTAACTGATTCGACTGAGAAAAGAATCGCGAAATTACTCATCGTTCTCCTGATAAAGATAATCGATAACTCCACTTGCAATAGCCTACGACCTCGTGGGTCTCGTATGCCCCATATTTATGGTGTATCAGAAATAAATAAACAAGGTACTCCTTTTAGACGTATTCTGTCAATTCTCAATTCACCCTAACACAAATTTGCACAATGGTTAGCGGATAAGTTAAAACCAGTCCATCAACCATTAGCCAGTTATAAATTAAAGGAATCATTTGGATTTGCTAACAGTATGAACCACATAAATGTTGATGGTAACTTTTTGGTTTCCGTTGATGTGACATCACTGTTTACAAAAATAGCACTTCTTGAAACCATAGACATGGTTTGCCAGCATTCTGACATTCTACCTCTACCAGCATCATAATTCAAACGACTGTTAATCATATGTACAAAAGATGTTCAGTTCCAGTCCAACAATATCATATTACCCATAAACTGATAGTGTAGCAGTGGGAAGTCCGTTAGGTCCTGTACAAGTAGATATTTTCATGGTTGATCTCAAAAGAACCAAGCTCAAAGAAGCGATTGATGAAATGATGTATTATTCGAGGTATGTTGATGATACCTTCATCGTATGTAATAATCAACAACATGCAACAAATCTGCTAAAACTTTTCAACGAAGCCCATCCAAATATCCGTTTTACTATGTACCATAAAAATGGAAACAAGTTCCATTTTCAAGATATCGCAATAAAACGAAGGAAGGATGGCACAGTTCAACATTCAGTTTATTAGAAAGACACATGAGTGAGATTTGTTTCAATTTCAGTGACTTTTTTCCAACCAGTTACAAAAATCACTTGTTAAAACACTATTACACAGAAAAAACATTACGTACTGCCGATACAATAGAAGAAAAAGCAGTAATGAACGTTAAAAGCTGTTAAAAGAACGACGGATACCAACTGAAATTTATTCTGAAGTATCAAAAACGTGAAGATAAAAAACCTGAAGAAACTACAGTAAGTGAAAAACATATTTTAATCCAACTTCAATTCAAAAGTGATGACTTCACAGGCTCAATCATTATGAGACTAAAAACTGCATTGAAAAGAATTTATCCTGCGGCTAAACTGATTGTCTTGTCCAAAACAACGGGATCTTCAACACAATCAGAGGTCGATAGTTATCCTTTTCTTGTTACCACCAACTAAGTATACAAATGTTCATGTGTCTGCCAAAGCAGTTTCATTGGTAGAATACAAAGGAGAGCCTACGTCCGATTCAAAGAACGTAGTCCGAAAAGTGTAAGGTTGATTGGATTGAAAGCATTCGGTCGTGCCATCTCAAGACATCTCCTTGACACAGGTAATCAAGTCGATGCACTGAAGTCTTTCAAGGTAATTAATAAGCAATCAAACTCCAATCTTTTAAAATTTGCTGAAGCGATAGCAAACAAACGTCTCAAACCAGATCTATGTATCCAAAAAGAGACAGTAATAAATCTTTCTTTGCCCCGGTAACACACAACGCCCCTTTTATTTATAACGTCATTCATTATTTCAACTCTTTCTGTCGTTTTTCTTCCATACATAACTGATTGATTTCAATTCATTTCTTTCTTTATTACCACTAATATGTTTTTGGTTGCTTCATTACATAATTATCTAATGCTTGACTTATAATCACTATTTAAATGTTTTGGAACTTTCCCTCCCAAACTTTATTTATCCAAAACAAACTTTTTATGACCTTATTAACTTTATCGGAACTTTCGGTACATTATGATACACATATTCATCTCCAATCATCCCCATATTCATAAATATGTTAATATCTGTAATGACTTTGATTTTAAAATATTATAGGTTGTAAGCAGCCGATGAAAACCTGACAGAATAAAGTGAATACATAGTATTCTGCACCAATCTTCGTTCTTGCTCTTTTTAAGATAACAAAGGAAATTATGTGCATGAAATTCTTATAATTGAGTTACGGCTATCGCCTGCATTCGCTGGAAGTTGGTTTAATCTTTAAAACCTTGTGTCACCAAGCTGAAACTAACTCGTTTTCCAAATATTCATATGTTATTTCACTGCGTGGTGTTTTTATTTTTTATTTTAACGCATAGATATTGGTACAAGGAGGCACCAAATACATATGCTTCACATAAATTTCATTCTGTATGTGTGAGGGCTGTGATACTGCTCGGGTGCCCAAACCAAAGCAGGTGGTTTCCTTAGGGAATCACACCCCGAGGCTTCGATTTGAAGGTCTGATCCACAAGACAGTGGAACATCATGAGGAGACGCAGTCCCATGGCAGCCGGTGGCCAACGATTGGTTCACACGCCATTTGTTCCTTGAGGATACTGGAGCTCATGTGCACCATTGGTTTGGAATCAGGGTTTTACAACTCCTCTAGGTGGACTCTCTATGCCCACCAATTCCGTTAAAGCGCCGGACATTCGCTTTTCGTCCTCTCAGCTTTGTAAACAACACTTGGGAGCATTTTACTACGTGGTTCACAAGACAGTAATGAAGAGATGTGTTTTGTTTTTAATCATCTATAAGAATGTTACAGTGTTATTATGATAAGCATTATAAATCTTTTACACGAGTTACTTCATGTTCACAGTTCAGTGCGAAATCAAAAACGGTTAGCTCTTGAAGCTAGAGTTCATGCCTTAATTTACTAACAGTGGTAACGTCAAGCGATTGGTGTGAAGCCAATTTTTGTTTTTAATTGTTGATAATTCTATTTGTTATTCTTTGCTAATTAAGTGACAAAATAGCACTCTGATGAAGAATTAGATCAACAAACCTTGTTAATGTTAGACGTGTTTGTTTCATCAGGTTAGCCTCTTCCTAAAAGGAGACAGTGAGCTACTGAAAAATGTTCAGAGAACCTCAACTAAGTTGATTCCCAAGATAGCAAAGCTCCCATATGATGGTCGACTGACTTAACCTATTTCCATTGAGATAAAGAGGTGAATTGACCACAGTTCTTAAATTACTGAGTGACAAATTTACATATGAAATACCACCACTTTCCAAAACAGATAATTTACGAGGACATCATAAGAAAGTTTACAAGCTCAGAACAAACTGCCTATCAGTTGACTATTGATTTTCCCATCGAGTTGAAGATGGTACAGGTAGTCAGTGTCTGATAACGCTTTTACCAATAACAACTTCTAATATAACTCGTACGCACCAAGAAAAATCGAGGAGATCAGAAGCTGTATTTGACGATTGCCAATATATCGGAATTGTCTGATCTAGTCTGGCTAGCGATTGCGGTAGATGTTGAGCACGGCGTTAACACACGTGATCTGGTGCGGATGCATGACCGAGTGCCTTCAGCTAGGTGAGCCCATTAAAACTAACCTGGTCAGCATCCAATGTCGAAAACTTACAGAGCTATTTATCTTGGGGATTTATTTACCCCTACAGAATCATCAACGAATGGAATTCATTCCCTCAACACGCTATTGGAGATCCATCCGTCAATGATCTCAAAGGAAAGTTAGATCGTCAGAGAGATCATCATTTCCGGAACTAACATAGACCACCTAGCCTCCTGTCCTTTCCAAAATGAAACTGTATGCTCCAAAGTTACCAATCATTGAAGTTTTTATTGATTTAATTCACTCGTAATTTCTAAAGGCTCTATTTTAATACCCACCAACATTTTCGTCAAGAATATTACTTCATCTACATAGACCAACTCATATGCTACCTATCTTATATGGATAAACTTCGACATGGTCATATGAAAACTTAGTGTCAACATTATCGTTCGGTACTCATATTGAGTCAGTTTCTACTGTTTTATTATCTGTACGTATTTAGTTCAGTTGAAATTATTCGTGGCCACGAGTTTGTTACACAATAACCTATAACTTTGTCTCAATAAGATGAATTATGCATTGAGAAATTTCAGATGTGAACTATGTTTATTGATATACCAAGGCTTTTAAATAATTCAATCACGATGTAATTAGACGGTAATAAACCAGTGCAATGAATTGGACTTATCATATTCTAAATGCGTTATTCAAGGAGCGTCGTTCAGAATGGTTGATTCAATTACATTTATTTACGAGCATACTGAACGGGTTTTTCCGAAAAGCCACGCTTGTGTTCATACTTTTAGTATTGTTTGAATAGGTGAGAAAGAGCCCTTTTACTTATGTCTGTAATATACCAAATATCTACAAACACGTCCACATATACAGAAAAAAGTTCGAAAACACTACCTAGACTATTTTTCATATCTCGTAACTACTGATGGTCCACATTTTGCAACGAAAAAAAGGATTATAGATTAAATACATAAGCGGAAATAAGTAAGCAACTCTCATTGCAAATTCCTACACGGCAAAAGTTTCGCAATCTTTAGCCATGACCAAATTTCATTGTTTTAAAATGCAATCCGTTAATCAGATAGCTTGCATGACGAGACTTTGTAAAGCACAACGATAAGAATAATTTGACAAATCAGACGAGTTTGGCCAGACTTATAACAGGAACTTTGTAGACCAGCATATCCACCAGGAAAAAAATTAACCACAACAATAATCTGTACTAATATTCCAAGTTCTTAAACACAAAATAACCACGTTATTACTAATAAGCAATCAACGAACCTGTGTTACTTTCAACCTTTGAATCATCTTCAAATGCTTGATTTACTTCAGCCTTCTTGGATTCATCTCTTCTAATGATTTTCCTGTATTGTTCAATAGCTCGCAAACGACTAGACGCTCGTAGTGAGGTACGAAGGAATTGTTTTTCTCCCTCCTTTTCTTTCTCTAAATCTTGCCTTTTCCTGACTTCTTCTGCATAAAACTCCAGGTTTCTATCTTTTTTGTGGCAGATAATTTGAAAAGAAAAACCCTACCCATCTGATTTTCCATAGCGAGTATAAAATATTAGACAGTCACTAACGTCACCTTAAAGTAACGCAAACGTTCGGAATATCGCTCATCCGATGAGATTATCAAATGATTCACAATAGTTCAAATAGCTCTGCACGAAATAGGAAAAACTTTAGCTTAACGGGTTTCTGTATCTAGTAGTAGTGGATCATTGGTGTTTACTGGTAAGATCCTAGTTGCATTAAACGGTAAAATGAAGAAAAAGGAATTAGTTAAGTAGAGCAAGATACTTTATTTAATCCTTAGTTATATGTCACTTTTGTCTTAAAGAACTGCTGAGAAGTCGCTTGGACTAGCCCAGCTGGCGACGAACTCCAACATTTGACTACTCTTACTGAGTAGAAGATGTATCTACAGTACGTTCTACTATATTGCTTCCTGTTTCTGTGTTGTCACTGACGTCCGTGTCGCGACTGAGCTTAATAAGTCGTTAAAAGGGGATTCCCGGAAGTGTTTAGGATAATATAAGTCATCAGGTCACATCTAAGTAGCTTGCACTCTTATAGGTAAAGGTTCAATGACTGGAGGCGCTCTTCATTAAGCTTGAATTTAAGTACATTAAAGATGCCTCTAACTAGAAATTTCGACGTGTTAGACAATCTTACGGTGCACCATAAAGATTGTCCTGCAGATATTGATGTTGTCTGGAAAAAGTGCCAACGACTTCAACAGTCTTGATAAGTTACTGTTGTAGAGGAAAAAATGAAGCCTAAAGTGGTTCTTTGGCATACCCTTTTAAAAGATTTTCGTCTGGATATTGTCCCACTTGCTCTCACTCTTTATTTCTGTTTACAGAGAAAATTTGTCATCCATTCTTATTCTGCACCTGTTATTTTGAAGCTCAATAGCTTCTGCATAGGCCATAAGTATAAAGCATTATCAAATGCTTAGCCACCATCGATGGGAATCACATCGACAGACAAACCACTATCCTGGGTGTTTGTTTAGTTCCCACTCACAACTAGTAAATCCGTTAAGTAAGAACGCTTATTCTGAAAGCCGTGTTCTGCAAGAGTTCAAACTGACAGCTTGGTAGTTAGATATGATCTGTCCTCTTTAATATTCAAACATATTTCTAACTATAGCATTCTTCCAATCCCCAGGGGGTTGAATGCTAGTAACGATAGGTTGAACAACACTGTGAATGTCCACGAGGGACAACAGTAATCGTGGATGTGGCTCATCAGGCCCAGGTGACTTACCAGGTTTACGGCCAGTAGACATTTGACGAACAGCTTCCTCAGTCACAACTATTGGTCCAGCCTCCGGTAACCCAGTGGTGTGGCTACGGGAAGTGTTAATACATATAACCGTAGAATAGACCCCAATCAAATTGTTTGCTAAAATTTCAGCTTTAGACACACCAGTTCTGAGAGCATTTTCTACGCCGTGACAGCTTTCAGGTTTTCCTATCGATCCGTCGAGAGCAATGTGATGGTTTACGTATGGACTGTGTGACGAATGGTAATGCCAAGGACTGGAAAGTGGATTTACGCTTATTCCATTTGTCTTTGACCAACTAATCTGTTGAGACACCACAGTATTTGATTACTGGTTGGTTAGTCTTCCAGTACGAGGACGCGTCGAAGCGGAAACACACCATACATTATGGGCCTGAAACCTGTAGTGCTCTCTGTCTGCTACCAAGGTCAGGTACTGAATGTGAGTGCCATTATGATGTCTAGTACTGTGTCATGCCCACATGGGTTGCTCTAGCTTTCATACAGTACAGTTTATTCATTCTTACTGAGTCACAGTTTGAGCTTATAAGTCATTCACTTATTGACTGTGACTGTTTTTGTATGACAGTATGTGTCACACAATTGTCTATACTGAATCATCCTTTCTTAACAGTCAGTAATGTTTGTTATAACCTTTATAGAACGCATTAGGGTCTGTAATAAAACAATATATTTTATGTAAAGACTAAGAGACCAAAGTCAGGATTTTCAATACAAATGTCAAGACAGTTCTACTGTATGGGGCATAAACCTGGAGAACTACGAAAGCTATCATCCAGAAAATACAGGTGTTTATTAACAGTTGTCAACGCAAAATACTTCGGATCCGTTGGTCGGACGCTATCAGCAACAACATATTGTGGGAGAGAACAAACCAGATCCCAGCGGAGGAAGAAATCAGGCAGAAGCGCTGAAAGTGGATAGGACACACATTGAGGAAAGCACCCAACTGCGTCACAAGACAAGTGCTCACATGGAATCCTCAAGGCCAAAGGAAAAGAGGAAGACCAAAGAACACATTACGCCGGGAGATGGAGATAGACATGAGAAAAATGAACAACAATTGGATGGAACTGGAAAAGAGGGCCCAGGACAGAGTGGGTTGGAGAAAGCTGGTTGGCGGCCTATGCTCTATTGGGAGTAACAGGCGCAAGTAAGTAAGTAAGTAAGTAAAGACTAAGAGTGATGATGCTCGTGTGATCTTGATAAGGCGACCTTCTTTTACTTTATCCAAGCTTTCAGGGGTTAATGTACCTATTCTTGGTTATTGTATGCTTAGCTCTGAAGATTGTGTGGTTATGAATCAAGCAACTACAGTTGTATTAAGGCATGAAAAATTCATAATTCTAATATTTATATTGGGCCAGATTGATTATTTTAGGATCGAATTTAGTGGAAGAATGCTCTTTCTAAGTTAATAAATCAAAAATAAAATGACGAAACAAACTTCGCGAGACAGAGTTTCCGGATAGTTATGGTTTGGAAGCCAATGCTTCCGATACTTGTATAGGTAGAACCAGTAATTCCCAAAGCACTCTGAATTTATGTGACACAAACTCTAGCAGTCTTGGGTTTAAAACATACGACACAAACCCAATGACGGATGAACTGTGTCCTAATATAATTCTTGTCACAGAAACGTGGCCCATAGTAAACTCAGACTGCTTTCCAATAACTGCAGTATGTATCTGTAATAAAAATTATAGCGTTGTAAATCCATAGGCAAGAGGTGAAGTAATAGAGATTAATTTTTAATACGATCGGACACATAAGAATTACGCTACGGTGGTACGTGCATAGTCGCTTTATGTACAATCAAATCTACACATAGGTCAGCAACTAAGAGGGTAATATACCGCAATCGATGTTGCAGAGCTAGCAACTTTGTCCCAAGTCACATTTGCAAGCGCAAATGTCACACTCTAGGTCTGGACGTCGAAGGTTAGTCCTTAGTCTCTGATTAGGATTAGAAGTTGTGGTTAATGTATTTATTTACTTCCTTAGTTAATCTAGGCATTAAAATTTCTATTATTCTCTATCGAATTTTGAAGGGTCTTCGTGTTTGAAAATAAAACTCATGTGCCCTCATATTCGACCTTTTTGTGACGAGCCTATGACAACCATCTTAAAGCGTTTAAAATCTAATGCACGAGGTTAAACATGAGTCCAGTAGAACCTCCTCGTCCTCATCACTTCCGAGTAATAACACTAAGATCACCTTTGGTTAGATTGCAACCTTTACCCACCTAACGAGTATTACTACTTTTATGATATGTACTACTACAGCCTCTTCTACAAGTACAAGTCAAATTCACGACTATCAGTCGTGTTTCTGTCGTTTCATTCCCACAAATTACAGTAAAAATTTCCTCAAATGTCCTTTCTGTCTTCTCTTCAGGACCAATATACTTATTTATGCCATCCAGTTTGTCTTGTTAGAGGAGTTTCTTCTCCGCATTAAGTGAAATGATGTTCTGTCACCACATCGGTAGTGTTTACAATAAATTCATTTTTAGTGAACTACAATTTGTTCGTGTTGACAGTGCGGGATTTAATACGGCTACGCGTGACATTGGTCTGATATTCTCCCCCTCCTACCTAGCCGACGATAAGAATGTCAGCCTTTCAAACATGGGTTAGGACTCATTTGACAGTACTAGCACACTTGAAGTTTTCTCTTCGTGTTGTTTCCGTCTTACCGAGCAGGCATCAAAGCTTGATAACTTCTTCATTAGTCTGAGGAGCTTCTAGTGGCATTGGACCCTAACCACACAATCCTTAAAGCTGAACACGAGACAACTGGAAAAATAGATATCCAACGATGGAGAAGGTGGGAGGAATTGATCTAATTAACTGATTACTCGGATGACATGGCTCGGCCTTGCAGGCTTGGTCACTCTCGAGCGTTGCCCTATATCTTTTATTCGTATTAAATATATTGTTCTATCTCTAGCCTAAGTTTGTTCTGCATCATATATGGGTGATTGTTACGATGCGATGAGTTGGTGTAGACAATTATGTGACTTACTCGTAAGATCTTATAGATTAGGCAGCTACATCATGAAAAATCCACAATTTTAGGAGTGTCTATAATTAAGGCCGCACTCATATTGAAGTACACCATAATTCTACAAACTACAGGGCTTCATTCGATAGTAAAGCTTTAGTTAATGCAGCATTCTCTACATAATAAAAATGAATCAGGTTTGCAGAAACGATTATACGCCGCCGGTAATTAAAAAGTTCATATTCAGTTGAAGTATCTCTTACAGTTGTTTGTACTCTATGTCATCTTCAACAGATAAGAGACAAAATGGTCGACCGCATTGATGACTTCGAAAGACTACTTTAACAGGTATTTTTGAATAGAACAGAATGGGAACGATAACGTTTCCAGGCTGGCCACGGAAATGCAACAAGTAGTAACTTTAACCAGTGATAATTAAAATATCAAGACGTCACAAGAATTAAAAACTCAAATCTTGAAAAAAACAAGACAGGGCAACAGTCAACATGAACACACAGATAAGCAGAAATAAAAACAATTCAACTACTAAGCACTAAGAAAATGGTTGGAAAATTGTCTTACAAACGCAAACAGTGCTAAAAGAAGTAAATATGAGTTAAAATCTTGCTTCTGGTAAGGTAGACGCAGAAGAAATCTTTCATGTGAAAGTGTGGAAAAATTAACCTTATTTCAAATTCCTCTGTTAATCAACACAAAAAAGATTGTCTTTCACTCTCTTAATACATCTCTGAACATGATTTGTCTCGCAACTATAACACGAAAAGATTTTCCTTACTCTATTCACTGCCAATACAGTAAAGTAAGAATATTTTTATTTAAACCCCCTAAAATCAAAAATCAAATATACGATAAGCCCCCAAGTATAGTGGCTACTTTCGAAACGTCTATTCGATAATGAATTATCACTTGACGACTTTTAGTTAGACAGTGGATTGTAGGAATGTGCTTTACCAACAACATCTGGGCACATGGAATCTATTTCGAGTCTGAGTCACGAGGACTTCGTTGAGAATAATGTGCAAATATCCATCCATTTCCTTCATCAGCATGCAGTCGTCACCGATCATACCCCAAGTTCTGTGGGCTCCCTTTTCGACTAATCTTCAGCAATCCTAAACATATCAAGAACAAGCGGGCCGAGTATCCCAACTACACTTCACCAGGTGGTCCTAATACTGATTTACAACCATTCAAATCCAGAAACAGTGAGCATTACTGCAACTCCATATCCTAAAACAAAAAAATGACTAGACCCCTAACAAAAAGATCTATAACTTCAAGAAAACAATCGCACGAGAACCTATGATGATTAGGAGTATTTGAATTATAGTACAAATTGAAAATCCCATAAATAACGTTATCGGATCAAGAAGTACTGTGGTGTGAGCTACTTATATTGATATAAGTAGTATATAACGTGCGTTAAAAGAACGTAATGTCCGGCAGCAGAAGATGGCGAAGATCGAGAAAGGAAGAGCAAGAGCACAATGGAATTGTAAGAAAACGCATGTACAATGGAATGGGCGACAATGGATTAGTGTTTGCAACGGGAACAGTACAGTTTGATATGATGGAATGATATTTTGCAAATTGACGATTGACTTTATGGTATTCACATTTTATTGAGATAGTCTGTAATCTTTGTGCTAAATACAATCGATTGTCCCCACCCGTGTTCTTGTTCACTACATTTGGTGTCGCTGCCAACCAGGAGAGGAGGAGTGTGCTGTTCTGCGGACGCCGTTGCGGGCCTGGAGTTGGGGTGCCAGTTGGGGCAGTCTGGTGCGGAGAGGTGGCGTCTGGTGAAGTGTCCTGGCGGGGCTGCGTTGGCTGTAGCGGGTGCTGTCGACGGAGTGGAGCGTCGGGACGCGCGGCTGCTGGGCGGACATCGGATGTAGATGGCTCAGCAGGCCGGTGGAGTGCGGATGTCAAGCGTCCCAGGTGCCGGGTGGATGTTGGTTGTTGTTTCCCCGGCAGGTCGATAGAGCTGTGGAAGTCAGCGCGCTGCAGACTCGACATCTTGACGGAGAGCGTCGCACAGACTGCAGAGACGGAGAATGTTGCACGGCGAGCATGAACCACCACAAGAACGACTGCTTTAAAGGGGGGGACGAGTGTGGTGTGAGCTACTTATATTGATATAAGTAGTATATAACGTGCGTTAAAAGAACGTAATGTCCGGCAGCAGAAGATGGCGAAGATCGAGAAAGGAAGAGCAAGAGCACAATGGAATTGTAAGAAAACGCATGTACAATGGAATGGGCGACAATGGATTAGTGTTTGCAACGGGAACAGTACAGTTTGATATGATGGAATGATATTTTGCAAATTGACGATTGACTTTATGGTATTCACATTTTATTGAGATAGTCTGTAATCTTTGTGCTAAATACAATCGATTGTCCCCACCCGTGTTCTTGTTCACTACAGTACTAGATAACCACAAACGAATGTACTGTATTTGGAATTAGAAATCAAGCATTCAACAAGTAAAAGGAATCATTAGTTCTTTCGAATACCACAGAGTCGTTTTCAACTGCTTTAATTGTTCCTCATAAGCTTAATAAGGTTGAATGTTGATCGCTTCATTGTTTACAAAATAACTAGTAACATGAACCCTCACGACGAGTGCCCTCTGCCTGTAACTTATAGCAACGAACTTTCCGGGTACTTTTATCCAAGAATGTGATTTAAAGTATGACACAAATCTTCCCATTTATAGCCTGTTTTTCAAAATATTGTAGCGGTAAATAAATCCCCAAGATAAATAGCTCTGTAAGTTTTCGACATTGGATGCTGACCAGGTTAGTTTTAATGGGCTCACCTAGCTGAAGGCACTCGGTCATGCATCCGCACCAGATCACGTGTGTTAACGCCGTGCTCAACATCTACCGTAATCGCTAGCCAGATTAGATCAGACAATTCCGATATATTGGCAATCGTCAAATACAGCTTCCGATCTCCTCGACTCTGTCTTTTGATTTCTCTCTGTGGGTACAAATTATATTAGAAGGTGTTGCTGGTAAAAGCGTTGTCAAACACTGAATACCTGTGTCATCTTCAATATCGTCGGCAGGTGCGAACACAAATCGCTGATTAAACAACTACACTATAAGTCTATTACGTGACTTGTATGCTCACATACTGCCCTAAGTCGGTCGAAATAATGTGTGAACACATAAGACAATAAGATGTCCCACCTGTCAGCCTAATCCGTACTATTTGTACTTTTGTTCCTGGTCCATTATTTTACTCATTTTGACCACATTCCGTTCACATAATTACTTACATCTTATCTTCCTATCTCTTTTGCACTCTTCGTCAGGGCTCTAATTCCAGTATCACAACCCCAATAGGGTCGACCAACTATTGTTTAATGAACTGACATCAGCTGTCGCTAAGGTCCCAAGGGAAAACCTACTCCCTTCCATCAATATTTATTAAGTACGTGTCGTAATCTTTAACAATATCGAAACAAAGTAACTGGACAAACTTCGATAGACAGATCTGAAGACAGATAAATTCATTAATACTAACATTACACAACATCAGAGAAACTTTATCAAAAGTTGATGTGATAAATTATGACAAATCCTTAACAATAATAGTTTCTGTATGTTTTTAAAATTCAATTGATCGGGGGTAAGTTATTCATCATGTCCAAACTCCACCTCGGATAATTTATTGTTTACCACACATTTCAAAGTTTATTTACACCAGTTTTTCAAGGTTGCCACCAAGCACGGACTTAAAGTTGATGGCGGAACAAGTGTTTTATGGTGAACTAGCGATATTAGGGTAGGAAGTTCACTTCTGTTTAAAAAGATTTTCAATTTAAAGTGCTCCTCACTGTTTGTATTCGTGGCACCTTGTTTTTTAATAATATAACTCTACTATCACAAATAATGAATATGTTCCCAGTACTTCCCTTGACAAATCTCATAATAATATATACTGTTCCGTCGTTATTGCGACTGTATCCTTTAAATAGATAGCTCGTCTGTCGGTGTATACCTTACACTTGTAGTTACTGATATAGGACTAAGTTGGTGATTACTCAATGATCAAACTTCCGCCGGGATCATCCTATGAAGGCTGGTACATTTACAAATATCAGACGAAACTATTAAACGAAAGTAAATCGGCCGTATAAAACTCGATTTTTCGGGCATACCAAGCGTCATGCCCAAAAAGAGGCACACTTGTTTTCCTCGTTGAGTATCACTTGATCGACCGGTAAGAGTGGACATCCCAGAGAATTCCACGTCGTGCATTATTTGCCGACCCTGGGACAGGCTGGAAAAGGCGGAGAGATGGTCAGTATATGACATGGTGTTGTGACATGAAAGGAAGTTGCAAAGGACTGGCTTGTGTTGGACCTTCACGACTCCGTGGTTGGGGTCCGAGAAATGGTTCTACACAGTGGCTAGAGACGTTATTAGATATGACTCAGAATAGAAGCCAGTGGCGATCCTGCTGTAACCTTCTTTTACTTTCTTCATAAAAAGTGGTTATATGTTCATTGACTGAAAGATTTGTTCTGATTGTACCTTTCCCTTCCCCCATTATTACCACTATTATTACACTACCTTATACCAATCTCTTCCTTATTGTTCTTTTTTTTACCCTCCTCACCGTTTTTATTTTTCCTTCTCTTCAAATCCTAATTGTTTTGTGTGGCGCATATATATTTGGCGCATTCTTGTACCAATATTTATGTGTTCAAACAAATAATAAAAATAAAGAGTAGACTAGGGTTAGGTGAATATTCTTTTTGATAATGTAGAATCTGTCTTCTGTTCAGTTGAGAATACCTTGTCAAAACAAACATTGAAATTTTCGTCATTGTTAGATGGGAATTAGGAATCTCACATATCACACTCTTCAGACAAAAATTCCATATTCTATGCGCTCAATTAACGTGGTTGGTTGGCAACAGCTGTCATATAAGATTACTAAACAAGACCACTTCGTAAATATCGTGTTTTGAATCTTGCATTTGCTACCAAAGACTGGATCTCCAGATGTCAGATGTGATTGTTATACCCCGAAAATTAGTCACATTATTTCAGGTATTTTCTACGCTAGTATCCACTTACTGACAATCAGAATGGCTTCAAAGAATTGAAAGTGACAATAAAAGTATTAGAAACGTGTAAAAAAGGTGGTATGCTAGTGTTAGCGTAAAGGGAAATTTACCAGTTTCTTTCTAAAAACATAAATCCAGACGCTTGACAGCTATGGCTTCGGGAAATTCCGAAAGACTGGAGTTCGATTGTTTGCTAATCATCTAGAAAGACTGATGTGTCCACTTGATGTCCTTTGTCGAGATATCTTGAAGTAGCACTACTGGTAGCCTTTTTAATCTGTATGGCAGACTTTTTAAAATACATTCTATAAACCGAACATAAGGGTCTTCTTTCATTCAATTCATATTATTCTACTTGATTCTTTGTTTTTGCTTTATTCAAGATATCAAACGTAATCATATGTGTTAAATTTCACAATTTTAGCTCACACAATGTCATGATTAAATCTAGCGATCTTTACTAAGTACATTCACTAAAAACGATATATAGTTTGCGTATGTACTCATCAGCTTTTACTAAATTCTACTGTCCACATCGCACCGGCAGTATACTCAGTCAACAACCAATTATTATAAGCTTGGAAATTTCCCAACTCCTCTAGAGATTTATTTATGGAATATTAATTCCCAATATAGTTTGTGGTTCATAGTCTTTTCTCAGTATTTAGACGGAAATATTTGGTTGAAATTCTACTTAGCACTTTCATTCCATTTAATTGGCGATTCTCAAACTTGTATGCTATGATTGGTTGTTGTTTCTGTGAAACTCGTGGTGACTTCAGTTTCACAAATCCACTTTTCTCTCTTAAAAGAGTAATATTTTCAACTTTATTTTACATATTGTTAGAAACAAATCTTCACAATCCATACAAATAGTGATTTCACTCAAATATCCAGACGTTTGCGTCAACGAAGCAAATGACAGTACTCACTCAATTGGTAGGTGCAATGCAGGTGTAGTCATTCCAATTAGTTAAGATATGGAGTAGTAATTAGCATTGATTTTTGCTATTATTCCGATGTTTTGCATTTAACACTAAGCGAAAATGTAATAGTTAGATTAAACATGCCTTGTTACCTTGTTATTTTCCTTCTGTATCAAATTATAGTTATCTGTCCTTGGAAATGTTTCAGCAATTTCTACCCCTTTTCTCGTTTTTATTCTTTTTATATACACTTGAGCCTTTATCGACTGACGGTTTTATCACATAACGCATCTAATTGAGTGCATCAAGTTTTGAATGTTGGATAACCACTACTAAATCTCGTTAGCAGGTTTTATCATTCATTTTGTTACATCGGCGAAGAGTGACTAACTAAATGTTGTTAAATTCATCTAAGTCTACGTTGTTCGTCTCACTATAAGACTCCTTTAACCATTTTAAAAAATTTAAACAACTGTGCTTGTAGTCCATTAATACCAAAGGAATTTAGATTTCGTACTACTCAATTTTTCAATACTCTTCATTTTTAGTCTTAATGGTGCTTTGGCTGAGTCTGGAAATACTGCACGACACACATCTAAAATATCTTTGTTCAAACGTCGTGAAGCAAATGGAGTTCGACCTGGACCCGTGAACAAGGTTCCTAAAGCTAGAAACTCAGTCGTAAGTTAACAATATCATGGATGTATGATGAATTATACCGTATAACGTATACTAATTGGTAACCTTAGCCTTCAAATAATGACGAATTTGATTTAGTGTTTTACAATCGGAAATCGTCATAGATTGAAAATCACTGCAAATCGAAATTCTTGTCTTTCTTATATTGAGAGCCTTCAACCTACGGGTTAAAGCATCATTTATTATTATTATTTAAACACATAAACATTGGTACAAGGAGGCACCAAGTAGATATGTGCCACATAAATCATTCTATTTGTGTGTGGGCTATGATACTGCTCGGGTGCCCAGACCGAAGCAGGTGATTTCCGTAGTGAACCACACCCCGAGCGTTTGACCTATAGGTCTGATCCACAAGGCAGTGGAGCATCGTGAGGAGGTGCAGTCCCATGGTAGCCAGTGACCAATGATTGGTTCATACCCCATTTGTTCCCTAAGGATACTGGAGCCCATGTGCACCATTGGTTTGGAATCCGGTTAAAGCATCGGACATTCGCTTTTCGTCCTCTCAATTTCGTAAACAACACCCCGGCCATGAGAAGGCAGTGAGTAGGACTCCCCTGGCAGAGGCTATATACGCGTGGCCATGTGAGAGCATTTCGAGAGGAGGGGAAGGCCCACCACACTCTCGGCCATACCAGGGCATTTAGGGGCGTTAAAGAATCAACTTTTCGATGGATAACTAATTAATCTTGTTTGTCATCTCCCAGTTAATATGACTTTGAAAATATCGATTACAAGAATCCTTTAACCATCCCCTTGAAGTAACACAGAGATATCACAGCTCACGGACGGTTTTCTTGGTCTGATAAAAACGGTGGGTGTACTCAGGTATGTTAAAACAACATATTACTTATAAACAGAATTGTGTCCTCATGGAGTAGTCAGTGGGATACTCACAAGGTCTTTTACATGTTCATTAATAGTACCATACTGTATAACTATAACTTCGTAGTTAGAAATGTGTTTTGGATATTGATCAATCTGAAACTGTAGCAGATAAGATGCTCTATATAAATAAGCCATTTGTTCATGGTAACAGCTATAAATACATTTCAGAGTAGATAGGCGCTAACGAGGAGTTATTCAATAAGTTTCCTATCCAAATCTATATGCCTTAAGTTGTCGGTTTCTATGACAGAGGTGTAAAACGAATATGGTGTTGTTGCAGACATTTAAGGTCATTACAAAAAACATCAGTCCGATGTCATGTGTTCAATTCATTGTTGTTTGTATATTATTTGTATCGTAATACTGTGATATCTAACAATGGGTTATTGATTAAATCGTTTGACACTGAACTATTAGGCTGCAGGTTCGAGACTGGCCCCATTTATCTCAGTTCCGTTAGCTGAAAAGCACCACTAGCCTTCATGTACATTGGAAAGTGTAATTTAAAGTTGCGTATCTGAGTTTGTATTCAGTTACTGAATTCCGACTACTACAAAAGAGCTACGTAATGTTAAAGTTTAAAAAAAATAAAAAATATCGTTTTTATGAAAAGCACCACTATATTTCAATTAAAAAGTTGATTTTTCCATAATTCGGCAATTTTATCTCCATATCTATCAAGTTTAATTACAAGTTATTTTTTTTTTAAAGTTCTGAAAATTATTGATTTCAGTTTATGTACATTAATTCGGTTTATGTTGCCTTGTTTGCTTATATACTTCAGACATGTGTGTAAATAGAATTACGAAAAATTCACATACTTGTTTGCATAAATTGTTTCTTAAAATAACAAAGACGACAATAGAGCGGAAAAAAGGAAGTTTCAATTCCTGTATAATTTATACATTATACTTTAAATCCAAAAATTCACCGATTCAAAATTATCACAAGATAAACTCACATTTACCTGGAACCCAAGAAATGAATTGGTAGCTTGGTGGTAGAAACGTTTGACATACAAGCACTGAGTCGTAGGTTCAAACCCTTTTTCACTCACTGGATAGCATCATAATCGTTCGTACATAAAATTTTGATTCGTTAACAAGTGCATAAAGCTATACTTGTTACATTTAAATTTAATTGTCCATAGTTTTCAACCAAAGTGGCATTGAAAGGTATGTATTTTATAATCTTCCATACAATGTCGTCACTTCCTCATTTAAACAAGTTGATTGTAATTGGCTGGTAAAATAAATTCCAGCTCTAACATTCATCGATTCATGATCTTAATCAAAAACTTAGAAGTCTCTAAAACCCCACACTGAAAACACCGATTCTGTTACTCTGTTACATTTGTTTATAAATTGTTCGGATTTAGAAATCAAAGTGGAATCGGCCAGTTGACATTATTTTATTCACATGAATAAATTATTCACAATAATCAGCGAGGATTAATGAATTATCTACTCCTATACTAATATTTTCGAGAAAAAGTATACAACGCTTGAGATAGAAAATGAAGCAAACAAACTCTATATTGATAATAATCATGTCTTCACTTATGACTAGGTTCTAGATGCAATACTCAAAGGAAGAACTCGTGGCTGATGGAGTCTAACTATATCGGCTGTGAGACAGGTATTCACCCCAGGCAATACAATGTTGTCTCACAGCTAACATTAATAGAGATTGTAATCGGTGTATACTTTTTAAATTTACGGTGGAAGTTTCAAAAGACAATAAATGATCAAATGATTTTAAGATTAGAAATTTTGCTTACTTATCATCAAACCTAATTTTTCTATATTTCTCAAAAGCCATACACCCAAAGTACACCCATTTTTCCGTGTGTGTTACTATTTTCTGAGTCATTGTATCAACTCAAACAGATATGACTCTGGTAATCTTATTTCCCTATGAGTCTGACATTTTATATGAAATATTTTGCCGTCTTCAGTCCAAATTCCGTATGATATGTAAACACCCTATTTCTTATTTTATTTTATTTTATTTGAACACATAAATATTGGTAAAAGGAGGCCCCAAATGCCCTGGTATGGCCGAGAGTGTGGTGGGCCTTCCCCTCCTCTCGAATGCTCTCACATGGCCACGCGTATATAGCCTCTGCCAGGGGAGTCCTACTCACTGCCTTCTCATGGCCGGGGTGTTGTTTACGAAATTGAGAGGACGAAAAGCGAATGTCCGACGCTTTAACCGGATTCCAAACCAATGGTGCACATGGGCTCCAGTATCCTTAGGGAACAAATGGGGTATGAACCAATCATTGGTCACTGGCTACCATGGGACTGCACCTCCTCACGATGCTCCACTGCCTTGTGGATCAGACCTATAGGTCAAACGCTCGGGGTGTGGTTCACTACGGAAATCACCTGCTTCGGTCTGGGCACCCGAGCAGTATCACAGCCCACACACAAACAAAATGAAATGACGATATAATCAAGATTATCAAATTATTTTCATCAAAGTGCACGAAATTGAATCAGAATTCTTAAAACCAAAAATTGGGAATTGTGTTTATTCAACCTGTATATGATATTTCCATTGCCTTTTGCACGCATAAATTCACAAGTTTTATAACTTACCACCCGTGTACAACACCTGACATGCTTTAATTACTGAATCCACTTTTAAGACTCACTACTAATTAGTGAAATTTTTCAATATTCTCCCTTTTCCTGAACTATTAATGCATGGGTTCAGATTAGTACCACTTAATTCATTATCAATAAGTCTTCAAGGATCTAACTATGATTTAACTTTTTCTACTTGTTTACCTGATTTATTCTTGGTTTACATAGACCGTTTGAATAAAAAATTTATTTGGTCGGTGATTAGATATGTTCATGTTTCTTTCAATGAATTTTTAAATATTAATTTTAGTCTATTTATAAGCTTATATGGCTTTTGTTCATATATATATACTGTTTATTGAACTCTTTATTTGTACCAAATACCACTGCAGAAAATATTGCTTAAAATATAACTTGAGTGTTATTATTTAACAAAAATATTAGCATATTTTAAGCTGAGTTAGCTTATGTTCTTTGGATTTTTTATTAAGTATTGATCGGTTATCAAATACAGATTAATGTGCCGGAGCCCACAGAATTGTAATATCACTAAATTGTTCAAACTTAATTAGGTAGTTTTGGTTTCAAACCTGCAAGCTACTGGTTGAAAGCCGAGTTTTAGACATTATTTCACAGATCCACCTATAACTTATAGGTTTTTGAAAATAGTTTTTCATCGCAAACACTAAGGAGCACTCAAAATAAATATAAATTTAGAGCAATCTAAAGATTGTTACTTGTTATTGTATTCCAGTGTATGATCTTCAAAGCCTGGGAATATGATTTATCCTAAAACCATGTTTTTCTTCCCCACTCTTTGCTATCAAATACGGCTATATAATATCGAAGTTGTTAGATTCGATTCGGGATAACGGAATAAAATTACATATGTACACTCCATGTATAGTGTAATTTTATTAGCAAATTTAATATTTAGCGGATGATATGTTATTGCCTACTGATAATTTTGGCATCGTTTTTCTACGTACATTTGAAGTAGAAATAAAAGATTTGTAGTGATTCATATTTCATTTAATTAATTCCAACATTTATTAAGTAATTCAGGTGTTTATTCGATATGATCTAGTTTTCTTAACTTCAGTTGATTATATCTATTGATGTTAGAGTGATTTTCTGTCAATCCTTCCTAATTATATTGATTTTTGTAACTTCCTATCTATTTTCCACTATAGAAGTCACTATCTAAGTCTCAAACCATTATCTATCTGGGTTTTTTTTTGTTTCTTTCCATATTACCTATGTAATACATAACCTACTGAGAGTTCAACTTTCGTTAGGTTATTAATTATATTTTCTAATTATGTATTTGATATACATGTGAAACTAAATTATAATGTACTATGTTGAATTAAACTTTTCGATTGACCGCATATCAACAGTTTATTGACTATTGATTTTTACTGATAATTCAGCAGTATAGCATTTTTTTTTGTACCAGAAATGTGCAAAATAATTATAGATTTTTATTAGCCATCACTCATTAGATCCTTTTTCTCAAAATGTAAACTAATAATGTTTTTTTTTAACATGTAATTCATTTGGACCTTTTATTTTCAGTTTCTATTAAATAAATACGTTGAGCACTTATTCTTAACCACATATTTATTATTTAACGATTGAATAGTAAATGAATTCATAGTTCAACAAATATAATACTTGGAATTCGACTTTTAGGTTATTAGTTCAAATTCTATTTGATCTGGCAAACTTTGAATAGTGCAATGGTGTTTTCATCATATCACGTATTAAACTCAGTAGTGTATAAACTGTTAGAAAGTTGATTATGCATATCATTGCATTAAATTAAAATATACAAATCTCAAAACATTATGCAAACAATTCTGTTATATTAACTGATTATTTCATAATAATGGATCATGTCATCTTCAGAATGTTTCAAATTATTCCGGTGATACTAGTTTTTATTTTACTCCTTAAAATATCAGTGATACAGTTTATCGGCTTATTCAGTATGTCCTCTTTCCTGTCATATTTCAATGTACGCACATGAGATGTTATGGCCATTATTGTATTGATGTCTAATAGTTATCATTTTGAAAATGATTCTTTAAAAATATTTCTCGTAACGTAGTAGCATCCAACAATACAGTCTTGTATACTACTGGTACTGATTACCTAGGAATATAGGGATTCCTTCTAAAAAACAATGTGAATTCGGTTTAGAATTTATGAATAGGTATATGTAACCGAGTTTAAGCTTAACGGCTTAATTACTAAATAAGTGAACTATATTATATTATAGTTCACCTCTCTGTTAATCAATAGAAAAGAAGTAATAATGTCTTTTTACTAGCCGTCTTCTATATGTAAGGTTCATTTTCAATGCGTTTATTATTGCATTACTTCAGTATCAAATACTCCTATTTATGTTAAATGACAACTTTTAGTTAAACAGTAAAATTGACGAAACACCAATAAAGTAATATTTTGTTTTTAATTAATTTATCGTCATTTATGTATCAGATATTTTTAGAATAACCAGACTTTATTTTATAACTTTTCCGTTTTTGAATAAATGCACTTTACTGTCCACTAAGTAAATTGATTGATAATTGAATTTTTCTCAGTAAATATGTACATGTTTCGGTATCCGGATACGATCCCGAACAGTAACTACTTAACCTTTTAGAGTTTAAGAAGTAAGCATGTAGAGTTGGCTCTTCAGTACAACTAACTATATGATACAAAAATCTAATCTATGTGACATTAAATTAGAAATTAAAAACTTAACTTCATAGGGGTAAATATTGATCGCTGAATATTTTTAATTAAGCTATGTGTTTACTCTGCATTCTTTTGTTTTCTTAAGGACCCACATAAAAAATAATAGAAAAACATTTACTATATCATCAAAGTTTTGCTCATTTACGTACTGAACTTATAAACAATTAAGACTGTTTAAAAAGTTATAAGTAGAACAGCTACTTTATCAAAATTGAGATAGTGAAAATTTGGAGCTCAGGTGGATGATTTTGGTGAAGAGGTGGTTCAGTCGTGTAACCTTGATTGTTCTTCTCAACGACATTATCAGCACAAACTTCAGGTAGAAGGAAAGTATTCGATTTTCGTCACATATGACTCACATCTTGTCCCCTCGATCTCGATTGGTCATTATCGACCTCTAACTTGTCATTACCTGTCTTTTTATTTTGGTCGTATCTTCCTTTGATCTGATTCTTGGTCCTATACTTGTCCATGACTTTTCTGATTGGTTGGTAAAGTGGATCGATTTCGACGTGTTTGTTGATTGACCTGAATGCCAAGCTTCTAAGAACTCCCTGGTGGTGTTAGTATTCCCTTCATCGAAAATTTCGATATTGATCCAATCGAATGTGTGTCTACATGGAGTGATATAAGTGAGATATATATACTCATCCCCTTAAACTGTTGATATATAATTTTTTTAGTTATTTCACCTCTAATGTTCAATGTTTATTGATTCATGTAAACTGAACTAATAAAATCTACAGTTTCCTAATTCTGTGCTGTTATTATTGCCTTGGCTGATAAAAACTACTTTCTGAACCAAAAAATGGCCTTATAATTTTGTATGTTATTTTATAAGACTGAATTTTTAATCTTCAGTTATTATCTTTCATGATGGTTCTACTCATACACCAGTTACAACTGAAGTCTTCGAAAACATAGTAGATTGTGAAACCTTCTAATCTGTTTTATGACTTTAAATTACAATTCTCTTCAAACAGTGCCATCATCGTGTGGTTTCACAACATTTTTTTGAACTTAAGAATATTGTATGAACAAATTAATGTCTTATGTTTTCCCTAAATACACACCAATCATAGTCACGCTTTCTTGTTCAACTTTATTCATATCTCCCATAATTCACTTGATTTTCGTCTTATTGGTTCCTGTGTAGTGTATGCTACTTATGCTGACATATGTAAGTAGTATGTAGCTGCAATCAGGAGTGGAATGCCTGTCAGCTGAAGAGTAAATTAAGAAGAATAGGAATAGAAATAGAGAGCGATTGAGGTAACAACAGACTTGAAATAATTCTGAAGTACGTAAAGGATAACTGAAGGAAGATGTACAAATGATATACTTAATGTATGGTTGTCATATTTTATAAAGTCACTATGTAAATTGGTTTTCCTCACCTGAGTTTCCGTTCACTACACCTGTAGTTAAAATTTCCTAAAATTCCGGAATTTCGTTTTGTAAGTAATTTTCTTGAAGCGGTTGGACAAATACGAGCACTCATATAACATTGTACGTACGGTACTTTTATTGAATCCAACCTTTTATTTCACTTCATTTAGCCGTATAGTCTATTTAACAAATAGTGAAAGTGCATCAGTCATTTACTTGGATTTCATCGGTTACTTATTCATTGAAAATAAAGTGATGAAAACTTTTCATTGTGTTACGTACTCTGAGTTGCATGATTTAATAGCCAACGTTTCGTTATCATTCTAGACAACTTTATCAACTCGTACGTCAAGTAGATGATATTGTTCAGAACAATATTGGAAGCATTGCAATTAAACTAAAGAACACAATACAAATCATCTGAGCTAAAAATAATCTCCATCATGATAAACACTATATGGTGATAGACTTTGATTAACTTATTAACTGAACTAAAGTAAATCAGGTAGATACTCGAAAACCATCTGTTTCACTTCTGTGTACGTCAACAATAAGTTTTATTTATTTCATCAAATTATATTCTAAACTGTAAATCATTATTACATTACTCTTTTTGCTTCTTCATGATTTTGTTGAATGATTTTAAAATGATTGACTTGAAAGAAACTACCCTTTGAAAGAAAATATATTTAGTTGATTCTCATGCTATTTAACACATATTAACAAGTTGTATTATCTACCACCTTCCACAAAACATACTGTTTCAATAATACGACTTTTCGTATGATGTTGAATATTATATATATATATATATATATATATATATATATATATATATATATATATATACCTCACATCGACTTTTTTGGAGGGATTTTTATAATAATTATTTAAGTTTTATTTCTCCATTTTTAGGCAGTGACAAATCGGAATACACCTGCCATCTCGTTTACTTTATCGAGGAATGTTACAGTAGTTGTAGAATATGTGCCTGATCCTAAAGTGGATATGTTTCAGGTGATTCTCATAATTGTCTAATATATTCACTTTTTTCATTCAATTCAGTGTAGATTGTATTCCTTATTGTTTAAAACTCTAGTTTTCAACAACAGTTGACGTTATGTTAACATTACACTTCCATTGAAACTGCACTACGAGTTTGAATAATGCTCAACCTACTAAGTTTTGAGTATTTGGATAGTACCAATAATTCATACAAAATAAATATAACTCGAAACCTAGTATGTTAGATTGCGTTGAAGTCGGACACAAACACAACAGATGTAGATCCCAACTGAACAGCCTTCATACAACTCATTTGATATCAGCAAAATAGCCTAGAAATATTTTAATTCATGTCCAAAGTTAGTAACATTCGACATTAGATTGTACACCTTTTTATAGCAATTTTCTTACTCATATAATCGACCGAACTCAAACAAAAGTATCTTCATCTTTCGTATTAACTTTATTGTTTAATTTGAAGTACAATAATAACTGTCTATTTTTTATAAAGTTAGAACTTTTTATTGTTTCCAGTTCAATGCTTTTGTAACATTTAATTTTATTTATCTATTGCTACGTACTTTGATTAATATTTTTTATAGATTGGTCGAAGTACTGATAATCACATAGATTTTGTTGTATCCGAACCAAAACCGTCAGTTAGTCAAAATGATCAGCAGCACGTCAATCATAATATTAATAATAACAATAATAATAAACAGTGTAAAGATAATTCAAAAGATCCCAGTCGCGGTAATTATGAAAGTGCAGTTTCACGTTTCGCTTGTCGTATTCATATTGATCGTGATCCACCTTACACTGCTCGTTTATATGCAGCTGGATTCGATGCATCAAATAATATTTTTTAGGGGTAAGTGAAGTGTTTTCTTTATCATTCAGTTTAAAATATCAAAGCTATTCATGTTAACAAATAAATTAGCTCATTCTTGATCTAAAAAGAATTCATATTATTGATGTATACTATTGGTGTTAAATAATGTATATCATGTTGAAGTTGTTATGATCTCTGAGCTGAATGCATTGGTTGAGAAGCTTTCATGTTTCGTTTGAACAACATCATCAGCACTTACTTCAAAGAGAAGTGAGTTATTAGAATCCCATCACAACTGAATAATGGCTTGTTTTGTTGACCTGAAATTTGATTGCTTTTTTATCTAACTTTGTGGCCGTTGCTTCTATGTTCTTTTTAGTTGTCTTCTCTCTTAACTTGAATTATGATCTTGCCTTTGTTAATTCTTTTTCTTGTTGATTGAAGTACTTGTTGACAATGCTGCTCAAAAGAGTGATGAAAGGTTCACAACTAATCCATCTAGCTCAGAACTCACAACAGCTTCAACGTCCTCGTCATGAAGTACAAATATTCTCCATCATATAATATACATCAGTATATGGTATTGTATTATATAGCGTATTACTTTTCAGATGGGACTATTTGTAGTCTGTCAAGAACAAATTGGGCTAATTAAAAGTAATCAGTGGAGTAGAAAAGCTTGCTGAAATAATGTTGTTCAATAAGTCTAATTATTTGAAGTTCTCTGTTGATTATAACACATAAATCCAAATCGTACTGGTAAACTTTGTTGCAATCCATACCTATTATCTGAGATTAACACCGCTACCGTGCTAATCAAATTTTATTAGGTGATTCCATCAACAAACTCCATGTGCTGAGATGATTGGACTACAGTGTTACACCGATAAACAAACTACGACAACCGCCTGGCATTAGCTTGCGTCAATTTGGCTAATAACTTGGAATCACTAGTGTTACTAATTTTCAATTACATATATCCGTCATCAGTATTTATAGTATAACAAGAAATACTCTGTTCGTAGTCCGCTGAATGTTGACGTGTAGACAAGTTTTCTAATTTGACCAGTTTTTTTAATTGAAGACATTCAGTTGTGAAGTAATCATCGAATATTGATCTTTCAGGCACTTAGATTATTGTTTTTTTTTTCTGAATTGGCCAATTACAAAAGTTTACTTTACCCAATCCGTTAGGTAAATCCTACATATGTTTTCATTCTAGTTTGCTTAGTTTATAAACGTAATGGTTGGTAGACTAATTAACACCGAGGTGTATAACACAAGTTTTAATCCTTTCTATAACAGATAGTTTGTGGACATGATGAATCATCCCGTCGAATATAAAACTCAGGTTAATTTGCTTCCCTACAATGGTTTTCTAGCCTGAACTTACTGTATGATAAGATTTGAAACATAATTGGTTATGTGTTTTCTAATACAAAATGCTAAAAATATGTGAGAAAACATTTTTACTGATTCCCTACAAATTTCTGAAACGCAACTATTTTTTAAACATTTATCAACAATAAACTGGTATATCACGGTGTTATATTCAGTTTCTTGTAAATAACTTCAATACAGTTATCCTAAGACAAATGATAATTAGCTAAGATTAATAACAAATCGAAATTAATGTGCTGGATTCATTTTTTCCATTGAAACTGTAGAATGAATCCAGTTAAATCAGTTTTGATGATAAATAAACACAAGTAGGATGATGAAGCCTACAATCCAGATTCCACTAGTAACTTTTAGAAAGTATTAATTATTTGTTTATCTGGTCTTGTTTATTAAACGGTAAATATGTCAATGTTCTATTTGCCTGACATACAATCTTAAATAGCTTCAATCGAAATGTGGTTTGCTTTTTAGATAACAATAAAACGTTTTTTGGTTGTTTTTTTATTTATCATAACCGTTGATATACATATGTATATATATTGTTGTGTACCACCACTTCCTCAATTAATAAAACAAACGAAATAAGCGAACTGATAAATAGCTAATGTTTTTATCTGACAAATATTTCATTATTGTAATTTATTTCATTGTTTTAATCATTTTAAATTTAGAAAGAAGTTTGTTATACCCATTTTTTGGTGACTCAGTGATTAAAGCCCTTAATCTTCAATTATATAGTTTCGAACATATGCAAAACATACCAACTTTCGATTAATAGTCGAATACATAAACTGATACTGGCTTTACTGAATTACTATAACAGTGGGTCAATCAAGAATCGCCACATAGGGACACGTTGATACATTGTGCCAATCAGAAACTGCCAAATAAAACGTGTCTGTGATTGGCCAAGGAATGGTTTTATTTTGCAAAAGATAAGACATTAATTACTGACAAGGTTAACTTCCTAAGGGATAAACACATGTACCTAAACGAGTGTACAGTTGTTCCTTGAATCCATTTAGTCTAAATAAACTTCCTTTTTCTACTTTTTTCTTTTCTTTTAACTGTTTGGGATTGTGTACGGGAGGAATGTGTATCAATATCAGCTCTCGGACACCACATATCCCAGCGATTACGTCATACCTTTTTATTATTTACTTAATATGAATGAATAGAGCAGTTGGCCATAAAAAAATAAATCTATGGTGGTTATATTTAGAAGTAATTTTTACTTCATAGCTTTTAATGCTGTGCTGAATTCATAGGACCAGGCTTTATGTTAATTATTTGGTGACTTCTAGAATGGTTTCTAGTTTAACATTTACTTACAATTCGACAAAACACTATGTGATCCAACTGAACCTCTTATCTTGTTATCAATTAAACCCAATAGATATCCCGACAAAATTTGAGGTGTTAGTCCCAAAGTTATTGGAATATACTTTCTTTACTGTTATCATGACTAATTTTAAAGATGTTTCTAATTGAATTTCATATACTAGATTATTTTTTGAAAAGACATATCAGTATATGTTTTTATAGATTAAAAATACTGACTGATAAAGAACGACAATCAAGCTTTAAACCATGTGTGCAAAAGTTAGAATTAAACGGTTATCATAGTTTTCCATCTCATTTAACTACTGTGCTGCAATCTAAGATATGTTTTGGTTATAGTTATTATGTCGTAAGTCTCGATGGAATATCACTTGTATTTGATTGGACAACAGATTGAGTGATGTTAAATCTAGATATAGAGTAAAGAGAAGACAAGAAAAAAGAGTTAGTTGATAAGTTTATAAACCGTTATCTAAGGTTGACAAAGCATTTGTAACGTATTCTGAGCTATCCTATACTCCGGTGTACTGAGTTAACTTCGGTGTTCTAAAGACAAAAGATAATCCAATATTGTCAAACCAAAACTCATCTTTCATCCATATAGTCTCTAACTACATGTGTGAACTATACCGAAATCCTGTGGGAGTTTCATAGAATAGCTACAACTGATAATTAAAGAATTTAACCGAAATAAATGAAAAATTGTCACTATAGCTCAAATTCACTAATTTTTTCATTTTTTTCTTCTAAATAAAAAGTTTGAACAATTAAGTTTCTCCTGTCTTGAATTCTACTACTTATTTTCTTCTAACTGTTTTCAAACGGTGTGATTGTTTTAGATTCCATTTGTGTTGGTCACTAATTTTCCGTCTTTAAGCAAATGTAAAATTTTAGTGAATTGATTCACTGTTGTATTCTACTGTACGTTACCACCGATCGTTCTTCCTCATATTACGTTGCTAATTATAGACTGAATCTATGTTCATACTATATTTTTTATCACTTCAATTATTTTAATTAGTAAATCGACTGTAACTTAAAACAAAATTAAAAACTTTACCTTAAAAAATCTGATTCAATTCTGAATGAAATTCTAGGAAACTGATAAATACAAACTATAAATCATTTTCATTTTAACCATATAAAACAATCGGATAGATCAAACTGTGGTACATTATTTAAGCCTTAGGGTAAAACTACTTTGAATTACATAAAACATAAAGTATTATTAGATTTTTTTTCATAATCACATACTTCTGTTCCTATACAAGTTTCAAACAATATGATCTTCGGAAAGAGTACATGTAATAAAAGCATTAACGATTGTATTATCTAATTTCAACAGTCAAGATACTGCCCCCAAATGCCCTGGTACGGCCGAGAGTGGGGAGAGTCCGCCCTCCCTCTCGAAATGCTCTCACATGGCCACGCGTACATAGCCTCTGCCAGTGAATTCCTACTCACTGCCTTCTCGCAGGGAGGATGTTGTTTACGAAAATGAGAGGACGAAAAGCAAATGTCCGACGCTTTAACCGGATTCCAAACCAATGATGCACATGGGCTCCAGTATCCTGCGGGAACAAATGGCGCATGAACCAATCATTGGTCACCGGCTACCATGGGATTGCATCTCCTCACGATGCTCCACTGCCTTGTGGATCGGACCTTCAGGTCAAACGCTCGGGGTGTGGCCCCCTTAAATAACCACCTGCTTCAGTTTGGGCACCCGAGCAGTATCACAGCCCTCACACATACCGAATGAGATTTGTGTGGCGTATATGTATTTGGTGCTTCCTTGTGCCAATATCTATGTGTTAAAATAAATAAATAAATAAATACGAACACAAAATCTTGACGTTATGTGACAACTGCATAAGAATCTGGTTGATCGAAATACCAAAGAAGCTACGAACAGTCATCATTAAATTGTGCATGTTCTCTTTTTTTCACTTGTATACTGGTTTTAGACTTTTCATATTACCACAATAGTAAGATATTCCTCGAAATCTTCGCAGTGTATTTATTTGAACGGATACTTTGCCTTCATACAGAATAGTCAGTTATTATTTTCGATAAAATTCAAATTTTACTCAATGTAATATGCTTAGTTCTCCATCAGCGCATATTTTCGAGCTTTTTCGAACTTACAGGAATAAGATAATAGACTGGCTGATAAATGTGATACTCTATACCAATACACATTCGTTTTAGATTCTGTTTCGTTTATGACTGACGGACTCCTGTTTTCGTCAGTCATCTATTTTTACACCTTAAGTACGCATAATGTAGTATTCATCCAAATGATTGACATTGCAAGTCTGGTCGTTATTTCATACATTCATGCACCTACAACTCAATCCAGTTTGTAACTGATGATATTTAGGTAAAGCCAGTATATTATCAGTTAGTCCGAATACGAAAAAAATTACCCATCTTTTTCCCTGGAATATAAAATCGCCTTTCAAAAATGCTTATTTTCAATATCTACATTAATTTTCTGTTCCATCTTTGGCAAATTGATTTATATCAAATAATCGATAAATATTTCGTCTATTGTTTTTCCTCTTTTTCCTGATGACCGCTTCGCGATTCATTACTTACCATATATGTTAACTGTTAAATATAACACCAAGATATTAAAACTGTTATTTATTCGGGTCCAAATATTTCAGTTCATGTTTTCATCCTTTGTATTCTTTTTCTTTTAAAGAAAAAAACAAACAATGGAATTCTAATTTAATGGTCAAGTTGAAATGCATTGCTCCTTTTACAAATTTTGATAAATTGGATTCTTGTATTCTTATTTATTCTTTTTTGGTTTTTCAAAATATATTTTTTTTCCAATGATTACACTTTAACAATACTCGACGGGATTGAAAATAAGAATAAACTGCACATAATACATATTTCAAAGACAAGTGTTTTCAAAAGGATTGATCTCAGTACATACGATTCATCCTCGCACTAAATATGCATTTCCTATTGACACTAAATTAAAAGCTATTTCATTAGAAATAACACAACACGTTTTTAACCTCTGAAATATTTTTTTTCCTTACTTGAGTGTGCATATTTACTTTTAACCAGTAAAGATTACTTTAAAATGATAAAAATGGTTCATCATACGCTTCTACAGGTCAGCTGCATTTTAGCTGTTTAATGTAGACTTGCCTACTATAAATTGTATGAAAGAGAATTTCCGTAAGGTTTGTAAAATCTAAAACCTGCTTTGTTATTAGTCACTTTGTATTTTTGTTATATATATATATATATATATATTCTGGGTCATTCATACAGTTTGTTCTTCAGTAATTCCAACTGTTCTTCAGTTATATTAAAAATTAAGACTGATCCAAAGTAAATCCTTCCAGTCATTCATTAGTGATTTGTGTCTAAATTTGTGGTGCATTCTTTAAATAATCCTCTAAAAGGTTATGGTAAGTATGAAATACAATTATGTGATAGTAATCAATTTTATTACTCAACTTAATTTTTAAATCTCTTCAGCAGAAAACTTTTCAAACAATACTTTTCATAATCTTCACATTTACTGCTCGATAAATCGAATAAACTCAACCCTTGAAATAAATAGAGTTGATAGACACGAATAAAAGCGTTACCTGTGTATTAAGGAATATAATATAGTAGTAGTAGATTCATGATATGAGTAATAATTGTTACAGTTACACTACCCGCATACATGAAAGCATAGTTATTAAATTTTTTAGTCGGGAATTGATTTCCCTCATCCAAACTTTTCCATAATTTAAGCGTATTTCACAAGTTTATCCGGTCAAATGTGATTAGACTGAAAGATATTGGTGTTTCATAACATCATTATTTATTAGTCTAATTAGTATAAGAAGATATAGGTTCATCCTCGCTTTGCGTTTCGATGTGCGCTGAATTAATGGTCGAAGACGCTAGATGGCATATTTTAAAACCAAAGTAATGCAATCATCCTTTAAGTCTATTTCCTCATTTTTTTTCCCATTACCCCTGCTTCTGTTTGATATTTTTCCATTTTTTAAATCTTTCCGTGGTATCGTGTTATGGGGGGGTTTAAACTAAAGCACTTGTATCCGTCTGTATATGTATATAATTTCAATGGATATGTCTTAGACTACAAGATTGGTTGTCGCTTTTTATAAAAGTATAGAAAGAGAAAAAATGTTTGAGAGAGACCTTCAAATAATTTTACAGCCCCACTAAGATTATTTATATATTTATTTATTTGTACTTCAAACTTTTACCGATCTATGCTCCCATAATTTGGACCCATAAAAGGGTCCAGCACGATTTAAAACGCTCATGAGTTACAGGTATATTAAGAGGTATATCGTGTCTATCCCACTTTTTTGTAGTATTTCCCTTCTGGTTAGCGATGTCTTTAGCAAGGTTCTTTTTTACTCTACCTTGTCCGAGTTTGGGATCAGGAGTAACCTGAGAAGGACTGAAGACGGAGTAAATGTTTCTTTCACCGTGTGAAAATATTAATTTCAAACCTCTACGCCTACATTATGTAATCATCTTTATGTGCTGAAAGTTAAATTTCTCATTTCAGTTCTTCACTAACAAGTACACTGAATCATATCATTCATTTAATTTGCCCAGTTGTTATTGAAATTGAAATTCCTCAACAGATTTAGTCATTATGGAAATTTGCTACCCAATGACTAGTTCATAAATAATTTTCCGCATTCATTACTTCATAACTTGGATATACAATGATTAAACTATATACAACTTTTCATCAGCTTATGCATACTGCTATTGATCTTTATTTATACTTTGTTCTTTCGAAAAGGAACGTGCTATAAAATGGAAGTGTGACAATTCTATGGATGGTTTAACAACAAATGGTGTCATGATGTTACGGATTCCTCCAGCTAAAATTATTGAACAAACAAATGAAGCTTCAGGTATGTCTTATATTATTATATGAGTATGAATCGAGGCAGGTAGATAATTTATATATCAGTTCCGAATCCTGTTACAATTTAATAAAATATTTCATGGAAATATCATTCACTGAAAAAGAACATTTTATTATAAATGTGGAGTTTTAGTTAAATAAATATTAACTGGTATAGAGGTTTGAGGAGATTATTAAACGTTACTAATGTCACGAACCGATCCAAGTTAGACATCCACTAAAATCTAGGAAGCACTGGACAGTTTTTTCATCCTAGTGTAGGACTCCTTAGTGGGTGAGGTCGTGAATGAAAGAACTCTCACACTTCTGAGGAGTCCTATGTCGTGACGAAACAGCTGTCCAGTGCTTCCTGGCTTTCAGTGGATGTGTAACTTAACTCGGTTCGTGATGTCAATGAAATAAAATTTTATCAGCGGAGTTATGATCTCGTGGTCAGAGAATTTAACTTTAGCTAATAGGTTGTATGTTCGATTTTAGCAGCCTGGCAGTATTGTTAACTTTCTTATACACATGACCCAAACCGGAGTACATAAATCTGTATTTGACAAATCATTAGCTTAAATCAAATCAGACGGACATTAACATCATTTAAAGGACTGGAGAAACCAAAGAAATCACATGTGAAATGTGTAGTTATATTTATAGGGCTGTGAATAAAGTTAACTAGAAGTTTCGATTCAATGACGTAAGTAATCTCTAACTTTAACATAATAACCAGCAGTTTATGACACAAATCTGTAATCAATTATCCAATTTATTTGTTTGTATGACGCATCTCGTAGTACTTATGTCCAATTGGATTTGTGGTCAAGTGGATTTAATGTTTTAGTGTTGCTTGTCATTGAAGTATTTAGAGTCATGGTACTCAGTATTTTCTCTTACCGATTTCTAGTGCTTTCAAACATTTATTTCAGTTGTCTCGTAGACTTCAACTAGAACATTTAGACACCGATACATCAACTCATATCGATAGCCTATGGCCTATTGAACTCATTCTGTACCTTTGTGTGGCTATTCCAACCTCCTACTATACTAGCCAGCATAATGTACCGAGATAATTAGTAGCTGGGATTGCTCAAAGTATCTCTTAATTGTCTGAGTCTATAAACATTCGTCTCGACTAACTTTACCAACTTGTAACCCAATTAAGATTATGCTTATTTTTCGTAGTCGTTGTTTATAAAATACTCCTACCCTCTTTTACAGTAGCCCATAAGTGCTCTGATTCCAATTTCAGTTTATGAAATCAATGTTGGACATTGTTTAGTACGTGATTCTGTTTTACCTATTATTCAGCACCTAAATCTTCATGAAGTTAGCCTAGTTGAACTATTCTTAGAGTAAAATACTAAAGATTTCACATCATATTAATGAAACCTGACATTGCTACGCTGTGGATAATTGATACATCACTGTGTCAGGTTAAAAGTACGTGAAAAGTGCTGATCGTGTTTGACTTTAATGTCATGTGTGTAGTGTTCAACCTCAACAACGTGTCAATGTTATCCAAACCTGGTTACTTTTGAATGTATTCATTCTAAGAGTTGCAAATAAGAAAAAAATGGATTCCTATCCCAATTAATCCCACTTTTATATGCCACTAAAATAAAATTTTAATTCAATAAAACATTTTACTTCAAACAGTTCTTCTGGTTCAGCGTGTAATGAATTAACTAGCTGGTAGAATATTAGCTCATATAGTTAATTATACATTTATCACTAGATATTATCTCATTGATTTATTGTAGTGCTCTTTTTTTAATAGACTGGTCAAGTTGTTTTTTTCTTTCTTTCTGTTTCTTATATAATGCTCTATCTGAACTCTTCATCACAATTATGAACAGATCGTGAGTAAGTGAAAGAAAAAATTGTCTTATCTTTACTGTGTTTTGTTTTTTATATTTATTAAGCCTTTAAAATTTCATTGTAAACATGTAATCTCATTGTTGGATTTTTACACGCTGACTCTAGTGTTTAGGAACTGAGTTGATGTTATGAAACATTATCATAATTTCGAGTGGTTGGATTTTATAATATTTTTTACATCTCCCTTTTTGATTGATAAAGAATTAGTATGTTGGTATAAAGTATAATAGTAAATTACAATATGGATAGAAATTATTAGGTTATTTTATAGATGAACAAATTAACTTCCGGTGTTATGCAGTAGAATAATTAACATTTAATTGTTGGATACTAAACAGCAATCTATTTTTATAAAAAAAAATACAGATATAGTAGGAAGTTTAATCAAGAACGATTATTGTTAGAATAAGGGAATATGAGGAGATTGTAGAATTTTCTTAGTTTTAACTCACCAAATGATCTTATGCCATCATCGGAAATTTGGAAACATTGAACGGCCAGTTCACCTTAGTATTGAGACTCCTCAGGAGTGCATATCGATATATCGGTATATAAGTTAAACGATCTCGTACGAGACCAAAGGTTTTTGGACGATTCTCTGTAGTGAAGTAGTCGATGCTCACTGCTGAGGAGTTCCATACTCGGGCGAAATAGCTGTTCGGACCTTCCTACTTTTGAATGGTAATTTAGCTAAAATTAGTTTTTGTTTTAAAAACTATCAAAAAAGATTGTGTTTTACGAAAACTGGAAACTGTGACTCAATAGTCAAATCACTGAACTTTCAACTAACATTAAATCAAAGACCTGAATCCTATCCTGCCCACCCAATTCCTTTTCCTAACCGTCAACTAGTGTGATTCAAATCCGATTACATAAACCTGTCCACTTAATGATTGAATCATATTTTTTAGACCTTGTTTCGTGCCTTATCTAAGTAACTAACGGAATCATGTAGACATTTAATCATTTTCAATTCATAGATTTATTTATCATCGTTTCTATCAATTTCCATCCAGAATATTTTTTACTTTCAAATCTATATTTCATTTTCCATTATAGTTCTAATATTCGATCACAATGGCGTGAAGTTAGTGTATGTGGTTCTGTATATGAAATGCGAAGTAATCGTTGCGTACCAACTAATTTGGTAAGAAAAACCCATTTATTCTCTGTATGTTATACCCAGTTATTTGTTCATTGTTATTTCTTTCCTTGTATATACATCTTTTCAACAATTCCATAATACCACTGATCGTTATATGGAATGTATAACCTAAAATGAAGTCCATAAATCATCTGTATTTTAGCAGATGAATTACTTCAAGATTTTGTTCAATTATGTTCCTACAAAATGCATACATATGAATAGAAATAAAATCCAGGGTGCGCGTTTCATCCTATTTGTGACTCGTCAGCTGGATAAAACCTGTATTCTAGAATTGATGCCCACTCCGGAATTCTAACCAAATGAGTTTCACTTCAAACAACAACGCCTTATTTACTTAGCTACTGAATTTAGATAACCACTCACCTGTACAGCAAATATGAATTTTAATTCTGGCGTGGATATCAACTCTAGGATCCAAATATATCCAGCTAACGAGTCCCAGACACGAAGAAACACTCGTCTTGGACTTCACTGCTAGCCCCACTCCGTCTATTCTATATAAACTTGTCACAATGGTTTATCGATGGACACATATCAACTATGACTGTTCAACCAATGGGATAATCCAAACCATCACAAATTAAAATATTGTTCAATTCTCATTATGACCTTTACATTTTAATTTCTTCATATCTTTCTGGTGGAATGTCAACTCTCATATTTCCGACGCGTAACTTATTTTCATCCCCTTTTTCTTATTTAACAATTCAAATCTCAAACCACTTTATGATGTAATCTCTTTCTATTCTTCTGTATATTTATTAAATAAGCATAAATACACGCAAGACTAAACGGCCACTTCATGCTTCCAGTTTCTCGATGATAGTCTAGCTAAGACCATTTAGTGATTTAAAACTAAGAAAATCCTTTAATCTCCACAAGTCTCCCCATGCTAAAAATATACAACTGTGCAGCTTAAGTAAATGATATCGTCGAAGTGGAAATTTTTTCTGTGTTATCTTCATTTTGTATTCAATACCAAAACGGGCTACTTTAGTAACTAGTTAACTTTTACGTAACGTCATTGTTCAACCCCGTTTACAAGCACCTATACATATTTCCAGTTTCAACAACTAATCCTTTGTTTAATAAGGTTAATTCTTATACCATAGCAGAAATAATAATAATAATAATGATTTTTACTTTCTTTGAATTCTTTTCATGATTTCTACTTTCCTTCGTTTAGGTTAAAGAAGATAATATTCTCACTGATATGACAATCATAGATCTATGCGGAGTAACTTTATTATGGCGATCTAGATCAGGATTAAAATATACAGCTTGTCCAGAGGATTTAATGAAAATGGTTAGTCCCGTTGTTGTTGCTGGTTTCATTCCGATTGATTGTAGTTAGTCCCTTTTCATTGTATTTTATTCGGGCGGGAGTATGATCTCACTGATATTCGTTTACGAAACTAATGGCTAAGGCTAATATCTATCGAAAAGTTTTTTATTAACGAATCAGTGTCCATTTTTTATTTTAGTTTTCCGTTTCCCGGATTGTTATAGTCTTTCGTATTCTGATCTTTCCTTATAAGTGAGAATTATATTTGAAATAATCTTAGCGATTGAAATTTAAATAATACCCACATATCATCCAGCAAACTTATCTGAACTTCTTCAGAGTAATAATAAAAATCACCAAAGAAATGTATAGTGTTTAACAATCAAATCTATACTGTGCTAATCCAATCATATTTCGATGCTTAAATAGGATAACATGAGTCAGTTAATTGCGAATCATGTGAAAAGTTCACGATGTGAAAATAAGTAACTGGATGAATTGTGCGTGTGTGTGTCTGTGTAAGATTGAGTTATTAATAGTTGATATTTGGTGTTAATTTGTTTTTATATGAAGGAAAAATAAAAGTGCAAGTTGAAGGTTGAAAAATTGTTTCTGAAACATCGACGTGCATGAAAAATGAGAATCATCAAATACATTGTTATATATTGTTAAAATAACCCACAATAATTTCAGTTAGAATAACGATGCATGTGAAATAAACAGGTTGGATAGAGAAAGGGTCCAATTACTTCTTAGCGAGTATGTGCCAGGTAGTTGTTAGTTGAATACCATCCTTTCTGTTCAGGTTGTTCTTATTCGCCCATATATACAGCGCTTCTGTTGTCGATCTTTCTCTGTGTGTGCTAAAACCTTTCTCAAGTGCTTTTGGTCCCTTCAAAATTGATCTTGTGTTCTGTTTCCAACGCATGTACTGCTATCGCCGACTTATTCTTTCTTTAGATCGATCGAGAATTTGTGAACATTTTCCAAACATTGTTTATTATTATTATTAATGGCTTTATTCAATATTATATTTTGTGTTCCTTCAACCTCGCATTCAATTGTCTTGAAGCTTCTCGCATATACGCTGCATTACAATCATGATAGTTGATCTCATAGACAATATTTTATTGTTCTTCCTTTGAAAATCTATCCTTAACCCTCACTAATGCTGATCTTATAGTATCACAAACCCGAAAATACATTTTTATATCATGTTTGTTTGGAATCCTCTTAATTTCTGCCGATGTTTCACTGCGGTATGCGATGACGACAGTGGACTTACAATCTTTCGGCATACATTCTAATTTAGCTTTTCCTTTAATTCTTAATAATCTTCTTTAGAAACTGTTTGGAGTGATTGTTATCCTTAAACGTAGAGAAAACTCCAATCCAACCCGTTAGTCTTCTTTATCTGTAACGAGATTAGAACTCCTGTTAATTAAATTTCTTACCACTATGACTTTCGTATAAAACACATGAGTCGAAGAACCATAATCTAAGTATTTCTCAGAATGTGTCGATTTCCTGAATACATTTATTTTCAACTTATTATTATGTCCTCGTTTAAACAAGCAGTCGAGAAACTCTAGTTTGTGGTCACTGGACTTTATTTTCTTTATTAGCTTGATGCTCTCCGAATTGATGTTTACATTTTCAAACGATTCTTCTGAAAGATTCCGTTTAATGATAATAAAAATGTCATCTATATACCGTAATCAGACTTTTGGTGGATGTACACATCTTGTGACGCATGGTTGACTCTCAATATTATAGTTTGTTTGTTCATATGAATTCATGAAATAGCATCTCCCAGCCATATTTTAAATACTCTTGTTGTGTAAATGAATTCTATCTGAAGTTTGTGCTGATGTTCAGAAGAACGATGAAAGCTCCACGACCAAAACATCCAGCTCAGAGAACAAAAGTCCATAAAAAAAATGATATATTTCGTTTATCACCGTTCTCATTATCAACAGTGAAATCAGAAAGTGGTTACAATATTGATTTTCTCTATAATAACATTGCTGAATTAACTTAGTTCAATTTCATTAACTATTCTCATATGAGATGTTTTCCCAGTAACTTTATAAACAACGAATTTGTAGACTGTCCTTTTTTTTGTTATATTGTAAGTATTGTGACCTATTTATACTGAAGTTATTGTTTTGTTTAATTTTTATGCCCCATTATTTTTCTTAAATATCATGTTTTTTCTTACTTTATTTGGACACTGATTATTATCTGATATGAAAAAAGTAAAGATCCATGTCTCAATTATAATATTTATTTGTAAATGTTCTTCCGTTTTGTTAAGATATAACTGTAATTCTAAGAGACAGTTCACTTTGACCAAGCGGCATAAGAACTCAAGGATAAAATAAAATAACTGATCGGTATAAGACTTATGATTTATAAGTCCTTAGGATTCATAACCTGAATCGAATATATAGAGATTTTTCTCTACTCGAAAAGGAAAATCGTATTTCAATCCTTTAAGACCCTATTCACAAAGTTAAGTTCATGGTTATAAATTAAAACACAAATGTAACATTATTGTTGACCTTTGGCAACTAATTTATTTCATGACTGAATCATATATCATGTCACTTATCTTACTTAGTGTTAGGGACATTATACCCTTAAATACAATGTACAAGAAAAAATATCAATCTTAATTCGGTATATCCATTCTCATGAATTCTATTCATTCATTTTGAGTGTAATTCATTTGTATTTAGTTATTTGATTCTAAGTTCATTTTCCTTTCGATAGTTATTTCATCGTGATTTCGTATTCAATGGCAACTATTCATTTAATAAAACTGTGTATTTAATAATCACTGAATTATCTTGGATATGTATTTATTATTCCTTGGTTTTATTCAATAAATCTTCCCAATTAGGTTGATCTTTTTGAGTAGTCATGGTGGAGCTAAAAGTGACTATAGCTGTTCTGTATTGTATCTCAGTTGTCATTAGAGTTATCATTGAATATCCTCCATATGTGACACTCATACTATTTCCAATAGTGGGATCTGAAGTTTGCAAATGAGCAAGGATTCAAGTATATCCAAGTCTCTAGAGGATAATAACCACAAAAGTAAACAATCTAATTATGTGACATAGTACTTTGCGCCACATTGTTTCCTGAATACAAATTATAAAAAATTTTTCTCTCGAATTAAAAATCTCACTACATAAATTAAGCTTTATATAATTACCTCTTTGTTTGCTCTGAGTAAATATTTATTTTTTCTTTGTTTACAATTGTTTGTATCGTTATTTCTTTCTTTCTTTCTCTCTCTCTCTAGATCAATGGATTGAATCAAGCTCATATTCAATGTCCTGTCCTATATCGTACATTGAAACTTCCACTTTTACCTCAAAGTACACATTTTTCACCTCATTCTGACGTAGTTAATATGGAAAATAACAATGGGATATTAAATAACGACAATGCACTATCTAAACTAGAATCAGATCAAATTAGTCCTGATCAAATGCCTTATGTGTATGTAAGCTGTGGTCATGTACACGGTTGGCATAATTGGCGTGCAGTTGGTGATGTGTGAGTTTCATGTATCAATATATTGTCATTATGATCTGAAAGTATGTATTGTTTAGAACTTGGATTTATCTTATTTTTCATTAGGACAATCGTTTTTTGGCACAAAGACTGGGCAGTAACTAATGAACATATTTATAAGATGTTACAGAAATATTCCAAGTTGGGTTTTTTTAGCTGCATTAACACCATTACTGATGTATTTTGTAGAATTATTGTAATTGTGAAGATTTGCAGTTGATATGGTTGATAAAATGAAATAGCCTATATATGTACGCAAATTAGTTTTTATTTTAAAAAGGTGTTATGCAAGTCTATAAATTAATCAATCGAGCACTTTTTTATCAGACAAGTCTTGCGTTAAGAAAAAGATATAGATTAATTTACTTAAAAAATTGAATAGTTGAAACAGTATTCTGTATGGCAACTTTTATTTGGCATTTAACTAACCTAATGGATTCACAAATAAATATACATTAAGATCGGAAGAGGTTTTCGTGGATATTATAGTTGAAATCAGTTGAAGCTAGATCACCATTGAAAACCTGGAAGCACTGGACGGCCGTTTCGTCCTATTATGGGACTCCTCGGCAGTGCGCATTTCCTGGAGTTCTAGTAAGAAACAGTGACCAGTGGAGTTCAACCAGGTCTGTTGTGAGATATCAGATCATTGATGACAATGGTGACGGTGGCGCAATTTCGTGGATTGGTTGAAGTTAGACATTAACACCGTTGGATGCCGGCTCAGTGGTCTAGTGGTTAAGCGCTCGCACGCGAGACTAATAGGTCCTTGGTTCGAATCTCGCGAGGCGGGATCGTGGATGCGCACTGCCGAGGAATCCCACACTAGGACGAAACGGTCGTCCATTGCTTCCAGGTTTTCCATGATGGTCTAGCTTCAATTGATTCATGATTTCAACTATTGAAATTACTAAACTCTCCACAAAACCCCTTCTGATATTATTAAAATGACTGAAATATAATTCACAGAAATATTTGACCTCAATAAATTCATTGTGTTTAAGTATTAAATAAACATAGTCAGAATTATTTAGATATGTTTACCTAAGAAAAGATAAATAGGTATAGTAGAGTGAAAATATTCATAGATATTGAAGTTGTCACCATTTTAAAACAACACGCTCAAATACAACCAGCAAAACTGGGTAAATGTTAAAGTGAACAAGTATAAAATAAATAGAAAGAACGGAAACTTTATATAAAGTATTCAAGTAGTCGAAAATCAGATGGTAAATAGTACATAACTATCTGAGGAAAAAGAGCTCCATTTAGTGGACTTACACTTCCCTCCTATATCAGTCAAATTAACAATCAGTAACTTCATTGACTAATCCCATGTGTTAGTTTGATCGTCCGTAAGCTTTAACTTTATCTTACTAAATTTATTAATGCATGTCTGGATAAACAGTGATCTAGATAGGATGCTTAATACTTTAGACGATTGATAAGCTATTTAGCTTGAAAATTGTCAGCAACTAAAATTTTTAAAACTATTTTGTCTGTCAAACCCTTGGTAACAAAAATTAAAGAACATGAATTCTAATACTGTTTAAATTAATAATAACTATCAGTTTTGTTTTAATTTATCCAGAAATAGTCGTCGAACATGTCCATTATGTTTACAAGCATCATTGTTTATCCCATTACGTATGGGCATTGAATCAGCATTCTATGTTGATCGCAGTTTAGCTACGCATTGTTTTAATCCTTGTGGACATATTGCTTCAGAAAATACTGTACGGTAAGTTTAAACGAATATTAACTACTACACATGATAATAAGTAACATCTTTGATTATCATACATTCTTACAATATATACTATAAAGATATATAGATTCAATCACATATTAGGTTTAATTTGATTGTATTCAACTCTAAAAGTATGAATTGTTGTAACGTTTAATGCTACTCTTTTTACTGTAGTCACGACATGAAAAAGAATTTATTGTAGAGAACAATTTCGTAATTAGGTTTATTTGTAGTGCATAATCAAAATGTCTTTCCTGCTAGTATCCCTATGGGTTTTTTTTTATAAAAATAACTTTATTATGTAATAGTAACTTACTTAAGTATACTTTATACAATACATGTTGTTTTAACATTCACATTTTCAATGAGCTAACAAAAGTAATGTGTGAACTCCTGGCATATATTGTTGTTAGAGCTTTATGATTGAATATATATATGTCTGCTTTGATCTGTCTGCTTAAGTACAATATAAACCGAATAGGAATCTCTATCAGCGTAATTAACTGTAATTACAACTTGATGTTTACTTTTAAATGGTCAAATGACCTCAGTAATATCAATATTGATGTTGGCCCTTGGTTCATCTCTGCACTCATACTTGATTCACTGTACTTCCTTCGCATGCTATTTAACTTGAGATTCACCAATCCAATGTGTTCCGTATATCTGCTGGATATCCAATTAGATACAACAATTGTATTCTTTTCGGTTCAGTTTTTATAAGCTACTAATACTGTCAACTTCCAGATAACAAATACAACTTGTAGTTCGAATACTTGGATCTATATGTGGTTACTACCAAGTATCCCTCAACATGCTAAATTCGAACTATTGCTAACTATCGTAGAATCGAGCCAACCATTCAGACCAATCACTGAGTAGCTCAACTAAAAACCTCAATATTCAACCGCTGAAGCCTAGGGTAAATACCACTAACCAGAGTACATGCAGTCCAGCACGAAGCCAGATGCATGCTAAAAAAGCCTCAGTATAGTCACTATTATTTAGAAAAAGCCATAATTCTGTCGAACCACAGTAAAATATATCGAAATCTCTCTTGACTTGTAAACTGCGCTATTTGTTCCTAATCATAATTACCATCTAGTGACCGAATAAATAATTCTTAAATTATCTCAGAATATCCATTTCTAAGTAAGACAATGAGCATTTTAATCGTCTGTATGGAGTTGAGAGTTATCGATGAAATCACTCAACTTTCACTTAAAGAGTTCTAAGTTTGACTCCCACTCTACTTTTGTTTTTAAACGTGATTGGTATACCAATAACCCTATTCCATCATAATTGTGTCCAAAATTCAGATTTCTAAAAAACCAGGTTATCTATGTTTTTTTGTTAATAAACAAGTTACAGTTCTTATGTGTAATAATAGTCTCGGTAACATTTTTCCAATTCATATTTTCCCAATGACGTTTGCTGTTATTTGAGTGTCTGTTGTCATATACAAAGAGTTGTTTTACTTCAAATTGGATCTCTTGAATAACAATCTTTTTCTTAACACCATCTTCTCTTTGTGTTTCATCGCGTTGGGGATAATTGATAAACTATGTGTATGTCAGTTATCTCGTCTATCGATCTTGTGTAGATCCAGTTTCGTATTAGAGAAAATATCCCAGTTGTTTACTGTCGAAAAGGTAACACTGTGTTGTATGCTGTTTATGCTGATAGATATAAGTAGTATGTAGCACCAATCGGTAGTGGAATGCCTAGCAGCAGGACAGTGAAATGATGATAACAGAGAAGGAATCGGAGAGAGACCGAAATAACAGCAAAATTAGAGGAATAATGGAGTATATAAAGGACAACACGACGATGTGCAAATGATGTATTTAATGTATGATTTTCGTATTTTACTTAACCACTATGTGGTTTGTACACTAGTGTGCAATTAATTACTGATTTCCATCATTACACTTTTCTAACGTTTCACTTATTTTCATGTCATTGTTTTTTTTTTTCATCTGTACTCCAGATACTGGTGTAGTTTACAATTATTAAATCGATATAATTTTGAATTACACGCAAGATGCCCATTTTGTTTGACACAAATACATTCAAAACCAGTGAAATTATTATTTCAAAGTGATTTATCAGAAGAAGAATTTTTGGAATTAATTAAAGAACAATTATACGTGCGTACATTAAATATGGAAAAATACGAAACATTATCACGTTCTATCCATAAAATAAATAATAGATCATCAAAAACTAATTCATCACAATCCCATTCCATTTCTAATAATAACAGTAATCAAGAATCTGTTCATTCATCTTCGTCTTCCCCTCCTCATCCTCATCTTACATCTTCTTCCTACAACCATGATGATCGTCTTCATTCTTCATCGTGTTCATCATCTGATGAAGTATTATTATCTTCTACATCATCATTATCACAAATTATATCATCATCACCAACTACCTCTTATTTATTAAATAATATTCATTCATCAAATAATCCTTGTCGATCGGCAGCAGTAGTAGTAGCATCACAAGAAAATTCTAATTCTTTACAATTAAATGAAAATCATTCAATCAATCATGATAATCTTAATGTTCCACATTCAAACTATACACCTTGTTTATAGTTTAACTAAAATTATTTCATCAGATTGATTTTCGTTTTACTTGTTTTTTTCTCTACTGGACTTTCATCGCTAACAACTAAAGTAAGTAGTGGATTTCGTCAAATGCCAGCTACTCATTTTCTTTTTGCATTGTTATTTGTATTCATAAATATATATATTAATAGTGATAATGAGACCCCGGTACTGAAGTGAAGGTTAGAAAGTGGTCCCTAAAAGTGTACATTGTTTCCCTTTTTCACGGAGACCTGATGCTACTAGTAAACTTTAACGAATTGGGAGTCGAGACATCAAATTAGGAAGCAAGTATTCATAGGAATAACCATATAACCAATATCAAGCAGTCGTCTTTGTACTCTGCTGTCATACTATCTAATCGACGAGATGATCAATACCAGTCCTATTTCTTTATCAGGTTTTCCTAGATAAATCAACCGTTCGTACGATAGGCAATTGAAATAATCCAACTACATAAGCGCGTACATCAGTACTCAATACTATTCTGTTCATCATAAATTCCGATCACTTAACTCATGTTCTCTTAGGTTTTATATTTCCATTATTAATTCTTACTAGCTTCTTAGTTTTTATATACGAATACTGGTGATTCGACGGTAGATCCTTTAATATCTCTATTTTAAGTTACGTTTTCAATTTTGTCTAGTGTGATACTGAAATTTTCATTTAGGTATTGTGTTAGGTGGTTGAAAATAGCTGTCAAGAAACCCTATTTTTAGGTTTCGTGCTAGTCGACATTCGTCAGTAAGTCGTGCTTGTATTCTTATGAGAACTGATGCTCTCTGTGGGATTGGAACCCGTCACCCGGCTTCACACTTTGAGACGTTACCACTGAGCTATTCTGGCCATTACTGACTTATGGGACTAAAATGTTTTTAGCTCATTGATCACTGAATAGTGATCAATGTCATATTTATCTAGTCTCTTAAGTGCTGGTCGAATTTTATAGACTAGTTTTCATCGTGGCCACTATTCTAATTAACTCGACATCGCATCCTCTGTATTAGGATATTAATTGGTTAGAGTGGTAGTCGACAAGAAACCCTGTTCACAAAACCTAACCCATTGGTGTATTGATATTCAAATCATTAAAACTTTATAAAACAGGATTGTCAGTAAATTTATAATTTGATCAGAATTGTTTAAATACATGTCCCCAACAGAATTTTAATACATACAAACACACAATTTTACAATTTTTGCAGTATTCGAATGATAGTACTTTTAATTAATGATTATCATTGGTAATATTACCTTCATTCATTATGATTTTTGTTTTTGTTTTTTTTTAAAGACAATTTTTACTTCTAGAGAGAGAGAGAGAAAAATTACCAAAGTAATCCACATTGTAACTAAGTACATTATTTCAAATTCATCTAACTTTTTTGTATGCTCAAATATTTCATTTAAAACGTTATCCCTATTATCATCATCATCATCATTCTCATTAGTGTTTCGATTCTTCAAACACCTCTATGCATTATTTTGAGGGAAATAAATGAATTTATTGCATACAACACTAATTCACATCACTTGGATTTTTTTCTAATAGAATCAAAAATAATGTTATGTTGTTTTACTACTTTTTTTACCCATATTTCCTTTCCTTTTTATATCTTTTAACAAAACAATCTAATGTTAAATGTTTGTTGGTTATATTTCTCATTACTGTTTATCAATGTATTTAATATCATATTTATTAGTTTTTAATAGTGAAAAATACTATCATTGTTAACACATCTCAATCCCTTTTTTTCATACTATCCAAAATGTATTATTCATACAATTCATATTTTCTAAGTAACCGGTACCAGTTAGGTATACATACATACTTATTCAGTCTTACTGATTGTGATTGTGTTAAGCTGGATTTCTTTTGTTTGTTTATATTCATCGGAACAGTTTTCCTCTAATAACTTGTAAGTGTAACATTTATCACTACTTTTCCGTATTGTCTTTCTTTTTTTTTTCTTCTAAATTGTTTAATTCAGTGACTTTCTTCACTACAGTGATTATTGTTTGTTTGTTTGGTAATATGATCAATATATGTGCTTTTTCTTGTACCTGTATGTATGCATTTTAGTGAAAAGTTACTTTTAAATTTGACTTTATATTTGTATTTTGTTTTTGATTTTTCTTCGTTTCTTTTTTCTTCAATATTATCATTTAAAACAAATAATCATTTTTATCACTGCTTTTTATCCTTGTTTTTTTTCTAGTATTAGTATATAAATAAAAGGGCAAATTACATAGGTTTTTAAATGATCTATCATCTGTATATGTAATTTGAATGATTTATCCAATGATATCGGCTATATCTTAAATTCAATCTATGATTATCATTCAAACTTTTCAGTAATCCATTGAAATTGAAAATCTGCTTGATTATCGAAGTTTCTTTTATACAATATTCGTCCGTATACACATTTTACTTCCCATGTTCTAACTTCACAATGAGTGAACCGTAAACAATATATATTTTCCTGTTTATTCAGTGTATTATACTTAGGCTAAACCCGTTTGGACAACAATGCTAATGAAAGCTAAATTCGAACTGAATTGGAAGTTTATTTCAGGTATTCATTTACACAGACATGGTGTAATCTGGAGAAAGGATTCTCGGCCTACTCAATTTGACTAAAACGTGACTCAACACACACAGAACGTACGTACTAGTATACACACATGTATATAACATGCTCAAGGTTACACGTGAGGACTTGACAAGGTCAAACATATAGGTTATAATAAAATTAAAAAGATTAGAATATTTTCTCTCTCCAATGGTTAGGACAAAGAATGTATGTGTGATATCAGAGATTTGCTGCTATGCCTTGTCGATTAAGTGTAAACATTTCTTTCGGTTTTCAGTATTCTATCACAAGATAAAATTTTAGGAATTGCTCTATAAATTTGAATTAATTATCTGACATGTAAACTATGGTTTTGACGATATGGTTAACGTAAAGATACAACCATAAGAATACATCTGATTTCACTTTGAATTTCTAAACTAAACTTTAGAATTGAATACATAGGGGTGTTTTTGGTGCTTTAGGTTCTCTATGCCTTTATTGTCATTCTGAACAACATCAGGACCCAATTCATATAGAAATGAACTTTCGGGTTATTAGACAGGAATTAAATACCTGGTGGTGTTGTGTGTGATCAGTTGTCTTCGTAGATTTCAACAAAGCAAAAATGATAAAATTGGATGTGTTCATTTTATTTCTTTACATTCCTAACTGCCTACAAGCTGGTAGTGTCATGAGTTCAGAACTTCTGTTTAATTGGTTCATTTAATTCTAACAACTATCTTTTCTTTTACCAATGATAAAAAACCCTGAAAAAACCACTTCAAAATCCTAAACACTATCAGTCCACTCATATTCTGTCCTAATAACCAATCAGAATATTAAAACTCCCTGTTAAATTACACTATTATTCTCTATTCATTATACCACAAATAAGAAATAATTTGTACACAACTAAGTTATAGGTGATATCAAACGGAGTAATAGATAAATAATTAATATTAGTAGTTGGATTCATGAGTCGATATAAGCTAGACCACTATTGGAAACCTGAAAGCACTGGATGGCAGTTTCGTCCTAGCATGAAACTCCTCAGCAGTGCGCGTCCACGATCCCGCGCACGGGATTCGAACCCAAGATCTTCGGTCGCGCGCGAACGCTTAACTTCTAGACCACTGAATCAGCATCAGACGGTGTTAATATCTGACTTCCATCGACCCATAAATGGCTGCGCATCCATTGTTTGAGGTAGATACCTGTCTCTACCTGACACAGATTGGACTTCACGGGTCATGGCTTACCACTAGAACTCCAGGGAAATCTTGAAATCAGTCACTAGGGAGCACATGATGTTTATTACTAGTATGGGGATTTGTGGAGATTGTAGTATTTTCATAATTGAATTCATGAGTCAATCAAATTAACAGTTATAAGGGATGAAGAGAATACTCTACACTTAATTAATCATTCTAAGAAAAATCACAACTTTACATAATGGCCAGAATAGATCGATTTTATGTTAAAATTACTACAAACCCCATTCTGAAAATAATTATTTAACAAAATCCCCAGAACTTTAAAATACACATAGACTCATAATTAAGAGATAAAAATACCATAAACTACATATTTGATAATTACGCATAATATTTATCCATAGAGTAGTTTTAACTTTTCCCAAATCACCGTTCCTCCGTAGGCTCGGTAATTCCATTAAAAACAATGTTCTGTTTTCTGATAGATACTCATTAAAATCAACTATTTTTATCGCTATAAATTACTTGAATTATTTTGATATACATAAAGGTGTAGAATTCAAAAAAACTCTAATGAATTTATTCTATTCTATAAATCTTGTCTTTACTTTCCTGCATAATGACTTAAGAGAAACGTATTTTACTTGACAGTTTAATTCGATGAGACCATAATATGTGGACGAACCAATTAACACATGTTTAAATAGTACAAAGAAATTTAATTTGGTTATTTACTCACTCTGAAGAAGTAGCTTATATTGAGCTTATATTGGCTGTCTAAATCGTTTAATAAAGAATTTACTGTAAAACAAACATTCATGTCTCTTGAGAAGTTATCGGTAGTTGTAGATGACCCTTCATTCTGCATACATATTTTATGTAAAAATCACTTGAATTTCGACGACTGTCTTGTGTTATGAAATGGCGAAAAGTCACACTCTCATAAACATGTTTGTTGTCTCAAAAGTTCTGCTTCCATTTGAAATAATTTATCAACAAACAGCTCTTTGAAAATAATATCAACTTCACTATTTAGAATAAACAGGTCATACAACAACGACTTTTATCCCTCAGATAGTGAGGATTTCATTGGCCGGTTAAAATGACGCTTTTGATTGGTAGAAGAAAGATACAGATGAATAGTTGGGGGGGTGTAAAGCGTATTAAAATAAATTTCATACCCTTAAAGGATTCT